AGTGTGACTCTAGCACGTGATTGAGATCCCACCAACACCTTGATTTCACGCCACAGCTCTGCAAACGTTTTGCACTCCATGAATTGAGAGGCAATATCTGGTTGCATTGTAGTGAAAAACCAACCTATCAATAGTTGGTCTGCTAAAATCCATTCATCATAATTTAAATTGTCTTTGAGCATGTTACCATTATTGACGTAAATCGGTGGATAAGGTTTGGTGCCGTTGATGAACCCATTGAGATGGTGGCCATGAATGATAGACAACATAATGGTTTTCCAAAGTATGAAATTTTGTCTGTCTAGCTTGACAGAGCCATTGGAAGGAGACAACAGGAAAGTGGCTTTAAGAATTAGAGAACCTGTTGCAGTGTAATCAAATGAGGGAGACGTGGTGGATGATGACGAGAAGCTCATTGCGGCAAATGCCGTGAGTAGGCTTTGATACCAAATAAAAAAACTGAGTGAAAAATGAATGAACCGATTGAATTCATTAGCTACACAGGTGGGGTACATATATAGAGAAATACAGAATCTGTTGAAACAGTATTGTGTAAATACAGTAACAGAAATATACAAGATAAAATATTATAATATCCTAATGGTAAGATACATGAAACAGGAGTACTAACTCGGACTACGTAAATTAGGCTCTACACTAAGCTTTAGTGACTTCTTTAACACAAACATGCACTCAACCATCTAGAACATGATTAGCCATGTCAAGAGCTCCAGATGTAGATTTGGGTTGTAGACAAGATATTTACTCCTATCACAGTACATGATATTTTTTTTAAAGACTCTACTTAATATAAAATACAAGGTGTCGGACATGTTTTGTATTTTTTTCAAATACACCCTTATCTCATTGGATATTATAAAATATCTTAGGTATTTCAAAAAGAGTTATTATAAATTAATATTAATTATCATAACCCTCTGCTTAAAAATATTTACTTAACCTCTTTATTGTTCATAACGGGCTTTTAGTTGTGATTAAAATGATTTTATTGCCTGATGTTTTAAGGCCTTTGCTTATAAAAAGGTCATCTTGCTATAGGTTCTAATAAAAAAAAGCCTTTAAGCTTCAAGCTTTCTCTCCTCTTCTGCCATACAATTTCATATACGATGTTGCCTAAGTTTATCTTATAAGCTTTTGTTGTTTTGTGTCCCTGCCTTTCACAGGAAAAATCTACTTCATCTTGAAGAGTTGCTATCTTGTGACGGAATAACTATTAAAGACAATGTCTTCAGGTACAACTCAGACTATATTATTGTTCATGTTTTATGCAAGTGTTTTCATCATATTTTATCATATTCCACGTAATTGATCAATAAGAATTTTTTAAATAAATCAAATATTATATTTATTCTACTCAATATTATAGTTGAAAAGATATAAACTTTTTTAGAAGATTAAGATGTTAACCTTTTTTTTTGGAAAAAAGAGCTAACTAACAATAACTTAGTGTGTGTTTGATTTTCAGCTTGCCAAAAGTCCATTTCATAAAAGTCAGTTTAGTGAAAATCAATTATTGTGATGAAATTTGTATTTGGATATATTTTTTCACAAGTTAGTTTGATACACTAAAAGTTATTTTGATTATGATAGTAAAATGTGCTTTTTAACGTACAATTGTAAAAAAGGATATTAATTTATGATAATTTGTAATTTTTATTATACAAATGTAATATATTTGAAATATTTAAAAAATGTGATAAAGATTTTAAGTAACATAAAATTTGATTTATAATGCTAAAAACTTTATCTCTAGTTATTTGTACTTTTTCAATTTGTAGTTTTAAAAATCATGATAAAGATTTGTAATTTTTATTATACATTAATGCTAAAAATTAGCATGATTAATTATTCAATTTGTAATGTTAAAAACTTGATACCTAATTACTATTATTGAAATGATAATTATATTTTTAATGAATTAACTTTTTTAAATAAAAGAATAAGATATTAAACTCAGAGTAGTATGGTCAAATAATATTCTACTTTTTAAATTTACTTTTTAAAAGTTTCAAATAGTTATATTTCTTAAATTTACTTTCAATCACTATTTACATGTGTTTTTGGAATATACTTTCGTGTAAAATATCTTACCCAAATAACTTTTAACTTTTTAAAATTAAAATTTTATTTTATTTAATGTGAAACGTAGGCAAACCAAGGGGCCTTTATATTATAATCCAAATTGAATATTATTCATGACTGATAGATAAGATATTACACTATGACTATTGCATGATGGATGGATTATTATCAAGGAAAATGACAATCTAGTCCCCTTAAAATGTCATAACTTTATTAAAGTCTTTAGAGACTTTTATATCAATAAATTTTAAATTAAAAAAATTATTTTATCCTTATTAATAAGTTATAATTTTTTTATTCAATTTTTATAAATTTTTCAACAAAATTTGTTATTTCTTAAACAAAAGCTATATCTAGAGTTTATTTTTTTAAAAACTTATTTTTCACTGATAAAAATTATATTTAACAAGTTGTGATTTATTGTCCAACTCTTACAATTCATAAAATAAAAATTATTGTTCTTTAAGTAAAAATTATGATTAAAAATTATTATTTTTAATAAAAATAAAATAATCTTTTTATTTTTAAATTTATTGACATGAAAGTCCCTAAAAATTTTAGTAAAATCATGATATTTTAAGAAATTAAATTATAATTTATATAATTTGAGTCTATTTATTATTATTTTCTCTCATCACCATAGCCCTGAGGGGGGGAAGCAATCTTGATTTTAATTTTATATGCAATACTCTATCTAATTCTATTTATAAATCATTTACAATATTGTTATTAGAATTAAGAAAACTGTTAACTTTATTAACTCTATTTAAAAATTTAATAAATTTTTAATTTTATTTATATTAATATACACACTTTAAAAATAAGAATAAAAGAATAAAAATAAATATAATAATTATTGAGTTGTCTTGTAAATAATACTAAAATAAATATTCTTTCTCCGTGCAATATGAATAAGATTAGATGAGTGCTGAGAGCTTTACATGATATGGACTTGTTTTGTTTTAAAAAAACTTAAATTAATTGATTGGATCTTTTGACCGAAAAATAATTATTGGATCAATCTAATTTAATCATCATTAAGTCAAGTCAACCTAAATTTCAGACTAAACTCGTGCACAGTCTCAGGTTAAACCAGGCTTTATCTTCTTCCAGGGGGTTTGGACAATGGAAACAAGGAGCATGATTTCTCGCAGCAAAATTCCCATTCATAAAGAAATCACATTGAATTATTCAAATCCTTCAAAGTCAATCTTCTGATCGCACGTTTCTGCTGCCCAAAATAAAAATCACATGCTCCTGTGGCTTGGACGAAAAGACAAAGATTTGCGATTCAACAAATATAATATAATATTTGGATAGTAATTTTAAATATGAATAATTATAATTTATTCAAAATAATTTATGTTCAAGAGTTAGGCTGATTCATGCATGACAATATGTCTACGTTTAGTTACATTAAGATAAATGTAGATGGTTTTTTTTCATCTTTGTATGCGTTATAAAACTGTTACTAATTTGCTATATTTTATTGAAAAAATTATTATTTTGTCATATATGAATTTAAAACTTTTTCAAAATTATTTTATCTAATTAAAATTGCAGAGATCTCATGGACACTAGTGGAACACATCGGCATTCTCTGTTGGGGTATGATGGGTGGCCTAAATTAAACTAAAGAAATACTCATTTAATTTTCACAGTTTTAACTTAATTATAATTTAATTTTTAAATTTTAACTTGATATAATTTAATTCTTATAATTTTAATTTGGTTGTAATTTAATCTGTCAATTTTGATTTTTGTAATTCAGTTTTTATAATTTTAACCATTTAAGCAGGAGAACTTATATTTTAAAAAATAAAATTATAAAGATTAAAATTATTTTAAAATTTTAATATTTATATTCTTTATAAATATTAAAAATATTTTTTAATTTAAAATATTAATCTTAAACTTTTACATAATTTAATATTTATAATTTTATTTTTTAAAATATAAAATTAATATTTTAAATGATTAAAATTATGAATATTAAGTTGCAAATGTCAAAATTGGGGAATTTAATTAGAGTTATAATGATTTAAAATTTAAAAATTAAATTAAAATTAAATTAAAATTTTAAAAATCAAATAATTAATTTTTTTAAAATTAAATTATTTATGAGCAGTATATAAAATTGAACGAACCTGGACGCCAATCGAGAAAGTGAACTTGCTTCCGCAGATCATGTTATTTTTGATAAAAAATACCTAATGTTTTTAAATTAAAAAAACATAACTTTTGAACTTATATTTTGTTATAAGTTTTTATATTTTTTTTAGTATTCTAAATTCTTATATTTTTATTTTTTAATATTTTAAATTCTTAAATGAATAAAGTATAGAGATATTAAAAACATCCAAAATACTTAAAAATAAAAGTGTAAGAATTTAAAATATTAAAAAAAAATATATAAACTTATAATAAAATATGAATAAAATATAAGAATTAAAAATTATATTTTTTAAAATTTTTATTAGCACGAGCAATGCATTTAGAAGTGATTTTTTTTTTACATTTTTTAATACGAATATTTAATTTAAAAAGTTTGGGTCGCTCTCACTCAATTACATAAATCTCAAAACAATGAAGAATAAATAACTAAAAATCATCATCCACAATATGACAAAATTCAAATAAAAATTATTAACAAAGGTTAAGTTTAATAGTAGGGACGAGTCCATTGTAATGCGGGGGATAAAGGTTCGAATTTTTTTCTTCTTCTTCTTCTTTCTTTCTTTGTTTTTTTTTTTTTTTTGAGAGAAGCATATTTACCGCCTGACTACATGTGGAACAGAATTGGTTTTAACAAGAGGAGAAAAGTAAAAAAAAAATGAAAATTAAATAAGGGGGAAAAAAATCCAAAGTTCTCATCTTATTGATTTAAAAAAGATAAATCAAATCGGAGCGAAAATTTGTTCATGGAGCTAAAGCGCTCACCAATCAGTGAATGTGAATCAGTGGCGTCCCTGGTGGCCCAGTGCTCATCCACTTCCCCACACCACCATCTTCGGCAGTCAATAAACCCAGAAATGCTGTAATAATCATCTTATTTATATTTTATCTTTTTTAAATTCGAAACGGAAATGATTCCCAGACGCGTCTGCTTGGCGACAAGATGATGTTTCCCACTACGAATTGAAAAACCCTCTTTTCCTGATGGCCCTCGTCATTCAACAACCCTTACTTGAATCAGGTTTCCTCTCTCTCTTTTTTCTTTTGTTTTACTTTTGGGGAAAAAGATTCCCTGTGTGCATTTTGATTGTATTTGCTAATTATAATTTATGAAGAATGAATGTTGCAGACTCTGGATACTGTTGACCTGTTTGGAAAAAAAAAAAAAGTTTTCGTCTGAACTTCGGTCAGTGTTTAACCTGAGAAAATAGTGATAATTTACAGCGAATCTGTGGCTTTTATGCTTTGAGATTCGTGTAATGAATTATCTAGTGGATTGCATATGCTGGGAAGCCAGAATTGTTTATGGATTAAGATTTGAGACCATTTCTTTGTTGTTTCATCGCGAAAACGAGGGTCCCATGGAAATAATATGCAGATGCAGTACTCATTGTGTCATCCAAAACCTTCCAAACGACTTTGTGAAACTTAAACGACTTTATGCGGTGTTTTGACGATGAAAATAACATACTTTCTACTGTTGGGTTCAAATTTTGCTTTTCTTCTACATTAAACGAGTGATCTTGAATTTTCTCGTGCTGGTTTCTTTATCAGTTGGGTTTGGGAATTATAACATGCTTGAATTCGTCTGTACGCCACACTCCGACGAGGCAGTCTGGAAATTTTGGATTAAAGAAGATTTACTTGATCAAATTCAGTTCTTACCTCAGCAGCTCAATGCAAAGAGTCCTTCCTGTAGATCCGCCTTGGTGCATGGAAATTGCACGTGTTTCAGCCTTACCTAAACCTAATGTATTCAAATGTTTTAAACTTTTTATTTTCTGTGGCTGAATTGAATGTCTGTGGCTGTCTTTGTTGACTTCTTATCTTATTCATTAAAAAAGTTTCTTGTGCTAGTTGAAGACATAAATCATGTTTTCCAAAATTGTTCCTTTGCGCCTGCGGTATGGAAAAAAAGTTCTACCGATGGATATGTATGCTGAATTTTGCAAAACTACCCTTGAATCTTGGATTGTTCATACACTCCAGAGTAAAAGGCTGGACATCTCCTGGAAAGTGGGAATTACCATTATATGCTGGAAATTATGGGAGGTTCGAAACCATAGAATCTTTACTGCTGATCACTACTTTGTTGACTCATTCCTTGTACATGTTAGGATTTTGGTAGAGCACAAGTTTTTCCTACTTTTAAGCTTTTGATGTAATTGGCTTCTGCCTCTTGTTTCTGTACAGTTTTCTTAATGAATTTCCCTTTCACTAAAAAAAAAAAAAATGTTTCTTGTGCTCAAAGTATAACAGCCGTGTTCATTTCTTTATAACGGTGTTCTGAGGAGTTGTTTACTGTGTTTTTCCTGATAATTACTGATCCTTTCAGCAGAATCTATGGAGGACGATCTAATCATTCCTCCAACTTCTCTGTGGGGACAAGTTTGCTTGTTTAAAACCATGACTGTGGAAGCATGCAAGAAAAAGCCAATCTCCTACTGGATTCTTCTTGTTCTCAGCATCTTAGCGATGCTTGTAGCATTTCCTGCTTCCAGCCTTCTATCTCGTGTTTATTACTCGAATGGCGGCAAGAGCAAGTGGATCATTTCCTGGGTTGCTGTTGCAGGATGGCCCTTAACCGCTTTGATGTTGTTCCCTACATACTTTGCTTGCAAAACCTTCCCTACTCCTCTGAATTTCAAACTCACTCTGTCCTACATTTTTCTGGGATTCCTAAGCGCTGCTGATAACCTCATGTATGCTTATGCCTATGCTTACCTCCCTGCATCTACGGCTTCACTTGTGGCATCATCCTCCCTGGTGTTTTCTGCACTTTTTGGATATTTTATTGTGAAGAACAAGCTCAATGCCTCAATCATAAACGCCATTGTTGTGATAACTGCTGGAATGACCATCATAGCCTTGGATTCAAGTTCAGATAGATATGATAACATCACTGACAGCCAATACATCATGGGATACATATGGGACATTCTGGGATCTGCTCTTCATGGGCTCATTTTTGCGCTCTCAGAACTGGTCTTCATCAAGTTACTACAGAGAAGATCCTTCCATGTTGTGCTAGAGCAACAAGTCATGGTCTCTCTGTTTGCTTTTGTGTTTACCACTATTGGGGTCATAGTGAATGGTGATTTTCAAAAGATGGCAACAGAAGCAAGATCTTTTAAAGGCGGTCGAACCGCGTATTATCTGGTTCTCATTTGGAGTGCGATTACTTTTCAACTGGGAGTTCTGGGTGGTACTGCTGTGCTTTTCTTAGCTTCTACTGTGCTAGCTGGTGTGCTTAATGCTGTAAGAACACCCATCACAAGTATTGCTGCTGTTATACTGTTGCATGATCCAATGAGTGGTTTCAAGATCCTCTCTTTGGTCATCACCGTCTGGGGATTTGGCTCATATATATATGGCAATTCTATGCCTGAAAAATCATCATGACACGTTCCTAGATTTCACTCTCCTTAATTCGGCTGGCTTATGAGTAAATTCTGATCAGAAAAGTTCTATTTCTATAGAATAAGTCGTCAATATAAGAGACATGTAACCACTCTAAATGTAAGTTGAATCTGTTCAGTAATTCTTTCTTCATATGTCTCCTGAATTGATATTGTTCCGGCTCTGCGTATGGGGATGTAACACAAGGCGACTTCTTGATAAATTTGTAAATATCATGCAATTTATATGTATGTCTTCTTTTTTTTTTTTCTTTTTTTTCTTGAATGGTAGGCCATGGAAAGACCGTGCTGACTGACTTGTTGAGTCATGTCAGCGTTTAAAAAGTCCCTACAACCTAGGGGCGTAGTATCAAAAATAAGTACATTGAAATTATCAATAGAGGCTTCATGTGACAATCAATCAGCGCAAGTGTTTGCTTTTTTAAAAATGTGGTCGAAAGTGACAGTTCAATCTTGCAAAATAAGATCTCTAATATTGTTGATAGTGGTAGAGAGAGAGTGATTGGTAGAGAACTCATTGCGGATTAGTGATAGAGTTTCAGCAAAGTTAGAGTAGACATTAACTTTGTTACACTTTTCAACCCAGTAGATAGTAAGTCCTTCCAAGATGCTCATAAGTTCAACAGCTATGCTTGGGTGATATCCAAAATATTTGGAGAAGCCTTTAATCCAGTTGCCTTGATCGTTTCGTATGAGACTGTCATAAGAAGCCGTACTAATAGAATTAACGAGGCTATCAGTGTCTAGCCTAACCTATCCTTCTTTAGGAGAGAGCCATTTAGCTTTAATTCTATCTCCTTTTTGAGTGAGAAATTCAATTTTGGATTGGAGATATTGATTGTTGATAATATCCTGAATACTGGTGAAAGCAATGTCCCTATCTTGATTGTCTTCCTCAGAATAGGCACTTTTTGCATCTTTCTTTCCACATGTTCCAACACACATGACCAAAGAGTCTTTGCCAAGAAGCCTTCCTTGCTCAAGCGTTTCCCATATCATTTTCGGCATTCCAAATTATTCAATCCTGTAAAGGAAGAGAAAAGAAAGTGTTAATTTTGGATTGTTTTAATAATTTTAACCATACCTCTTTTAATGTCTTGCAATCTCTTAAAATCTGTATAGTTGAATCCAAGGAGTTGCAACTAAGGGGGCATATTTTGTAACAAGGATTGCTCCCATCCGAGCAAGTGAATTTAGGTTGTATGAGATCCCAAGCAGCTTTCCAGAGGAAAGTTTTGATCTTTTCATAAGTCGATCATTTCTAGATTTTGGATCAAATTTTAGAGTTGGTATTATTGCAATGATTTTCAATAGCCTTGTAAGTTGATTTGATAGAAAAACTACCATCATTAGAAGGCCTCCAACATATAGTATCATCATGAGCATTGAGATGGGAAGGTCTGACGGTAATGATTTGCTTGATGATATCATGGTGCAAATATCTATAAATTTGGGCCACCTTCCAGACACCTATACTAGTACAAAAGTTTGAGACTTTTGCATGTAGAATAGGATCTGAATTAGGAGATGCGTACTTTATAAGAGGTTCAGGAAGGGGACACCATTTGTCATACCAAAAGGATATTTGGTCTCCCTTTCCAACCTTCCAACTCACATGAAGATGAATTGGTCCCAGACTTTACATATACTAGACCACGTGTAAGAGCAAGAGCTAGTTTTGCAAATCATAGGAATGATAGGGTTATTGCATTTATATTTATCACGAAGAACACGAACCCATAAACAATTAGGTTTCGTAATGATACCCCAGCAAAGTTTCATAATATAGGCCTTGTTCTGACTTTTGAGCTTTTTAAAGTTAAGGCCTCTATGTTTGCTATCCTTAGTGATATAATTCCAAGATAAGAGATGAGGTTTTTTGGTACTATCGGTAGAATCCCAGAGGAAATTGCAGGAGTGAGCCTCCATATCATTTAGGACATTATCAAGTAAAAGCATGGTTTGCATAGCATAGTTGGGAATAGAGGATAGGACAGATTTTATAAGAACAGCCTTCCCAGCAGAGTTGAGATAATGCTTTTCCAATTTAAGAGCCAAGAGTTAATTTTATCGATCAGTGGGGGAAAGGTAAGCTTAGAAACTCTTTTATGGATAATAGGAATCCCTAAATATTTTCCAAGATTCTCAATTAGGGGAATTCCTATTTCATCGCTCATCTGGATGACTCTGTTGATATTAACACTCTTGGAGCAAAAAAGTTTGGATTTGGTGTTGTTAACTTTTTGCCCAGAAGCATTGCAGAAGTTAGAAAGATATTGTTGGATGATCCTAGCTTGACTGAGAGAAGATTTGCAAAAAGAATAAGTCGTCAACAAAACATAGATGAGAGATAGGAGGACCATTAGTTGTTAGGCTAATAGGTTTCCATTCTTTTTTATCAATGTTACTAAGTATGTTGTGACTTAATCGTTCAATGTAAAGAACAAAGAGATATGGTGAAAGAGAGTTTTCCTGTCTAATGCCACGAGTTGGTGTAAATTCATTTGTAGGTTCACCATTCCAAAGAACTTTCATGCTAGTAATAAAGATGGCTGCCATGATGAGTTTTCTGAAATTATCATTTATTCCAATAATACAAAAAGTATCGTCAATGAAATCCAAGAGAGTCTATCGAAAGCCTTTTCTAGGTTAATTTTGAGTGCCATGAAGCCCTTCTTCCCCTTTTATTTCTCATGGAGTGAAATTATCTTGTATGTCTTCTTTTGAGTATTATTTCTTTTTATATGAGAGGAATGAAGAACAGAGTTTCCCCAGGATTGAAAGTTGTCCCTCTTTTTTTATTCCTGGCAAAAAGTGATCCATTTTTTTAAATCCAAGTTGAATAGTTGATATATTTGCGTGTCCTTTTGGGTTCTCTGTTTGAATTATGAAAAGGGAACGAATATACATTTATTATGAATTTATTATTTAGGATCTGGAAATTTTAAAATTTAAAAAAAGGATAATGAATTTTGTTAGAATCTAATTTTATCTAATGTTATGTCTGGATATATATGGATTTAAATTTGGATTTCAGTCAAATTCATTATTTGTGTAATTAAAAATGTATGGATTTGATTACTCAAATCTGAATTCAAATTCTACTTTAATTTTTTTTAATTTGAAATAATATTTAAATTCTTATTATTTCAAATCCTAATTTAATTTTTTTTGTATTTTGACCCAAATTCATGGTGGCTTAATATAAATTAAAAATCCACGAATGCTTTGAAGTTCGGTTCGGTCCTAATAGAAATTTGTTGTTTGATCGTGGTTGTTGTCATTAGTCTAGTCCAATTAGAAGTCAACCCTTTGATCACGATCATCATCATCGGTTTGGTCTTGGTGAAAGTCGGTCGTCCGATGACAATCATCGTCGTCGGTCTGATCTTTGTAGAAGTCGACCGTCCTATCTCGTTCATCACCATCGGTCTAGTTTTGGTGAAAGTCAATTGTCTTGTCTTGTTTGTCACCGTCCATTTGGTCCTGGTGAAAGTCGGCCCTCTTGTCCATGTCATCATCGTCGGTTCAATTCGGGTGAAAGTTAGCTATTTGATCCCAACTATTACCAGTGCTACAATCCTATCAGCACTTACAATCCGGTCTTGGTCGAAGTTAGCTATTTGGGCTGTCGACTTTTACTAGGAACCAAGTGCCGACATCATCCAATTTTGTTTTAATTTTTGTTTACCAGAAGTTAATTTTAAATTAAAATATCAAAATTTAAAATTTAAAATTTTACTTTAAATCCAAACAAAGAATTTTAATATGATAATTTGAAATTTCTTATATCATTCAAACAAATAATTTAAAATTTATGAATTTCAAATATGAGATTTTAAATTTAAATTTTTAACTTAAATCTATCCATCTAAATACAACCTAAATAAATTTCTTTACTTAGTCATCTTCCATAGTTTTAATTACCTTTGGAATTTTTAGTACCCATATTCTACATTTTTAATATTAATCTTTAAAATTTTCGGTACTTAGTTTAACTTTTCAATAGTTATCTCGCATATTTTCAATACTTGTATTTCATATTTTTAATATTTATTTTTTATTCTTATCCAAACTGAAAATATGGGAATGAGTAATTAAAATATATAAGATGACTATTAAAAAAATTAAAAAAATAAATAGTAAAAATATTATATTGAAAATTTAAAAGATGAATATTGAAAATATGAAAGATAAGAATTAAAAAAATAATTCAGAAAAATTTTAATTCCAACCATGGACTGTGGCTTTTTCTCTGAATTTTCAAGTTTTTAGGGGTCCTTAAATGTCATTGTCTTCTTGTAAAAAATGTTCTTCCTTTAGAAGATTCAAATTCAATGTATGATCTTGACATTTCCCGGAGGATGATATTTATTGTGATTCTTCCCAGATTACGTGTGGAATCACTTCAGACATTCAATAGTATCCAAGTCGAATTTCCTAGACATGTCTAATAATTCTCAAACTGTCACGAGATCTTCTAGCTTCCTATGCCGCCTAGGAAGTCTATCGTACAATTAATCAATGCGTCTTCGTAAAACACTTCAAACTGTCACTCAGGTAATAATTTTACTGCAAGAAGAGTATCAAGTTAATAAATATTTAAAAATAATAATTTATTTTCATTTACAATTGCATAAAATAATGAAAAAATTTCAATTGCGAATCACATCAAATATAGCAATTCATTTCTTCCTTTACATTCACAAAAAAAAAAAAAACGCATATCAGTGCATTTCGAACGTGTTAAAAAACCAATGACCATAATTATGAGATCAACATGACAAATTTCAAATGTATACATATATTAACGGGAAAAAAAACAATTTAAAAGCACAGTGATACCATGGTGGGTTATTTGCATGTTAGTCGAAGATGCAACTTGCAAGTAGAGTTTCCAATAAAAATGTTAGGTCGCTAAAATTTTAGATTATTGAAATGAAACTATGTTAATTTTATCTGATGCAGAGAGCATTCTAGAAGGGGATAGAACACATTTTAGCTATCATTCTAAAAGAATACATATAAATAAATATGGTATCACATATTAATCCACAATCTTAAAGTATATATTTTTTCACTTATATACCTCTTCTCTAATTTAATTTTATTTTATGTGAAACTTCTCACTATACTAAATCAAATTCACTTACACTTAACATCTTAATAACTTCCTCTCAAATAAGGGTCTGTCATTGATTGCACAAACATACTCCTCCTATTTGTTGACACTTTGAAGAAGCTTGCTGAATAACTACATTTTATGAGTCTTTTCTACACTTATACACCTTTTTTTAAAATTAATATTATCTGATGTGAAATTTTTCTCTGCACTGAGCGAAGTTCAAAACTTCACATCCCAACAAATTTATATTCAACCAATAATTTAAGAAAATAAGATTCTCCAATTGTCTTCAACCAACCCTAAAACCTAAAGAGAAACATCAAGATTTGGCTGCACGTGAATTATGAATAATTGTGGGCACTATACAACGCGGGGCAGTCACGGCAAACTAGTCAACATTTTCTAGCCCAATGGATCTGAAATCTAATGCCTCATCAGGCAATTCAACAGTGGGCTGCAAATTTCCACGTCATACATATTAATACTATTTTTGTAGCCTAAGAAAGAAAAACAAATACTGCAACCTCATAAATTGTCCTTAGTTCACCTACTAATTAATCCTGTCTCACCCATGAATTTTCCTGTCAATAGTGAATCTGGCCACTCATTATAATTCCAACTTGGAGTTTGCAATGATCATGTTTCACATGTTAAATATTATATCCATCATAACTCCATTCCAGCATCATCATGATTCATGAACATGCCTCTTCTTTCATCTCACAAAAAAATTTTGCTACTCAAGTTTTACAATTATATAGTTTCAATCAGAAGTGAGCCTTGCTTAATTTACTATTTACTATAATAGTGATACAGAGACATCCAAATCAATGACAGATGAACATGCAGTTGTGTGAAAATGGGAACCATTGAATTCCCTTTGTTATAGTTGAATGGTCCAGAAACAGTGGTCCATGCATGTTTCTTTCACTTTATTTTTCTGGACTCTGCAAGTGGTCCCTGTAACGAAGAAAAATTGAATGGTAGTGACACAGTAACAGTAGTCGCTCCCCTGAATTTGTTCATATTCTGGAAAGTAAACCAAATTGGGAAGAAGTGGTTACTGTCACATTTGTCAATATAAGTCCAAACGCGTGGGTAAGAAATTAGTTTTTTGGAGTCAAAGGACCACATGTTATGTTTCTTTTGGAAAATCTGATTACAGGCATACATTTCAAATAAATCTTGTCTTCATTCATAGATACACAAGGCCAGATGCAACTGACTAGTTCTACTCAATGAGCTCAAGTATTTAAATTTAATCCAACAATACTGGATATTAAATAATTATATATTTTTTTTTTAAAAATACACCACAAAATTGGTTTCAGTGCCATTTGCTTTATTTGATGATATAAGGAAAGATGAGGGAACTACTATGATTTGGCTCCACAAATATATTAAAAAGAAGGGATCAAAATACTGTTAAAGAGTATAGTTCCCACCAGAATTATATTGATGGGCCATAACAAATTCTAAAGTTAAATGATAATAATTGTGTTCTAAGGATTAAGTTAATGGAACATTCATCTTCCAAGAAAACCAAAAATAGTATACATAATGAAGAAAACAAGCTGTAAAAGATTCAAAGATCAAGTTCTGGTGTGTGTGTTCCTCAAAGCTTTCTTCCACTACAGAGCATGGAAGCTAAAAAGGAAAGAAAGAAACCAACATTTGAAACAACCCCATGGCAGCAAATTCAAAGGGAGTGAAGACCAAAAGAAAAAGACTAAATTCCTTTTGATTTTTTCCCATTCACTACTAAGCAGTAGGTTCAATATCTTTCAGAAGTCCCAGTATCTGCTGCATGCTAGGTCGCTTGGAGGGAAAATCAGCAGTGCAGAGATAACCAATCTTGAGGGCTTCTTCAATTTGATCATCAATTCCTCTATCACTAATTTTGGGATCAATAGCTCTTGCAGCTAGGTTCTTTCTTACCAATGCTCTTACCCAACTTACCAAAGTCCCTTCTTTCTCTTCAGGATAATCATCCCCAACTGGTTTTTTCCCAGTAATTAACTCAAAGAGAACGACCCCAAAACAGTAAACGTCAGATTTTGGTGTTGGGAGGCCATATTCAGGTTGAGAAAACTCGGGTGGAACGTAGCCAGGAGAGCTTCGATCAATCTCCTCATCCAAGCTGCTTCCAAAAGTCTTGGCCAGCCCAAAATCAGACAACCTTGGCTCCAAGTTGTAGTCCAAGTAGACACTGCTAGCCTTAACATCTCTGTGAATGATTGGAGGTGAGCAGCCATGGTGAAGAAATGCCAATGCTCGAGCAGTGCCAAGGGCAATTTTGTGTCGAAATTGCCAAGATGAGAGTGATAATCCCTCAGAGCTAGCATTGTGAATTACATTTGTGTCATCTCCTTCCAGTGTGTCTGTGCTCCAATCATCTGTCCTCTGTGCCCCAAGTGGCAAGTCATGAAGAAAGTTTTGCAAGTTCCCATTCTCCATGTGATCATATATGGCAATCCTTTGATCCCCAGCAAAGCAATATCCAGTTAGGGGAACAAGATTGGGATGCTTGATTCGACCAAGATACTCGAGCTCTTTTGCAGCTTCTTGATCTGTCAATGTGGACCCAACAACCAATACTTTAACTGCCACTTGAATGCCACTGGGCAGAAAGCCTCGGTAAACAGGTCCAAACTTCCCTTCAGCCAAAAGGGTACCGCGATCAAAATTTGAAGTTGAGTACAGGAGATCTGCAAATGTAATGTTCAGTAAAGGCTTCTCAAAGATTACAACTGGGACTGAGTTTGCTTGCTTGACATCAGCTACCCAGGTAGTTGAATCAGTCTGGAACGAGAAGGGGCCCGAAATGTTCTGCTCTTCTTTGTAGGAAGTTTTCTTAATTGCCCATGACTTTGTTTTCCTTCTGCAACCAAATGCTAGAAATAAAAGGCCAGAAAGTAAGCAGATCATTGAGAGGGTCAATGCCACAGCTAGCTTCATCCCCTTGCGCTCATTTGTTCTTTTGAAAAGATTAGGATTTGCAGCAAGAGGGCAATTGTCTGATGATCCATAGAATGCTGTTCGCAGGATATTGGGGTTGATTCCCAAAAAGCAGAAGGTTAAGTTATTATAAGAGAAGTTATATTTCTCCATTGATGGGAGTTTCTGCAACAAAGGTTGAGGGATTTCTCCACTCAAATTGTTGTATGAAAGGTCAAGAATTTGGAGGTTTTCACTTCTCAGAAACGGAATTCCCCCTATAAGATGATTCAAAGAAATGTCAAGTGAATTCAGATTGCTCAGCTGTGATATTTCAGCAGGAATGTAGCCATGCAGATTAGCTTTGGACAAGTTCAGATATTCCAATCTCGAGAGGTTTTCAAGCTGTGGAAATTTCTGACTTGCAAATCTATTGTGTGCTAGATTAAGGTGTTTAAGATTTTGGGCTTCATTCAGATACTGGAAAATTTCCCCACCAAGCCTATTCTCAGACAAATCCAGATAAACCAAATGAGACCAATTGTACTTGAACTTTACCTGAGAAATCTGACCCTCAAACTGGTTCCTGCTAAGGTCAATGACACCCAACTGTTCCTGAAACATACCCAGAACAGAACCGTGAAAGGAATTTTCAGATATGTTGATACTAGTAATGGATTTCAATCCTGAAAAATCTGAATCATGACCATGAAGATTATTCCCTGCAAGGTTTAAGCTTTCAAGTTTAGGAAAAGCAGCTCCAAAACCTTCAGGAAGAGTGCCATTGAGCTGATTTTGTGAAAGATCAATAGAAACTAGAGATTGAATTTGTAGAATCTCAAAAGGTATGTTCTGCTCAAACTTGTTTTTATCAAGTTTGAGGATCCTTAAACTCACAAGGGAGCTAATAGCTTCAGGAATTTCCCCAGAAAAATTGTTGCTGGACAAGTCAAAGGTTTCGAGGAGACCGAAGTTGCCAAAGTTGCTCGCAAGTGAACCTGATATCTCATTGAACGAGAGGTTGAGAATCTTGAGAGAGCCTAAGCTCCAGAAATCAGAAGGCAAGGCAGTGATTTTGTTGTTACTAAGATCCAAAGTCTGAAGCTTGCTGAGCTTGCCAATGGTGTTATCAGGAATAGGCCCAGAAAGTCCCATACAAGAAGCTTTCAACTCAACCACATGTTCTTTATTTGCATCACAGGAAATCCCAGGCCATGAACAAACAGAAGCAGAGAAGTTGAAGGCTTGGGAAGAAGATGATGATACACTCATGTTCTTCAAGAACTCAGACACAAAGAAATCATCAGTATTTGGTCGCTGGCAAGCCAAATGCTCAAAGAAAAACGTCAGAACTACGATTGAACCAAATATCCCCCAACCCATTTCCAAGTAATTTCTGAAACTGATAAATATGAAGAAAAGTGATCCCAAAACCTCCAATAACACGCTAACACGCTAACACGCCTTTCCGAAGGTCAAGAACAGAATGAGCATATCTCGTAGAATGGATAGTTTCAAAACGACACAAAGGCCAAAAAGTTTTACTGCATTAAATTAAGAATCTCCATGAACCCAGAAAACAGAAGAGCCTCGCTGGGCTTAAAAGTACAGAGATAAGGAGAGAGGGAAGAATAAAAGCAAGAAGAATAGAAGCAGAAGGACACAAAGCAAGTAATACTTTTTATGTGCAAAAGAAATCGATTCTGAAGGGGGAAAAAACGCTGTAGTCTTTTATCCAGAGAAATGTGACCCTCAAATGGTGATGCACATATCCATGAAAGCCCAAACGAAGAAACAAGCTTTGTCTGGTTGACTGGTTTTGCCTTGAAAAGCTAGAGAAAAGAAAAACTATTTTAGAGGAAGAAAACGATTTCCAAGAAACGAAGCTTAAGTGCAAGTTTTCCAGGGGAAAAGTGTGCACTCAGATTATTGAAGGAAACGGGTGGGAGCTTTAGAAATCAAAAGGGAACTGAATTGGAATGTCGCTGTGAATGAGCTCAGTGAATTTATCGAAAGCTTTGTTGGGGAATTCAATGATGATATTCTCCCTGAAGTGAAAGTGCTTATCGCCTATTCACCTTTTTCTTTTTTTTCCTTTTCACTGAAAGTTATCTGTAAGTTCATTTTCCACTTGTTGGACTCATGAAATTTACAATTTATTTTGTATGTATTTAAATTTATTCAAAATATTATGCCTCATGTTTTGTTGAGAAATTTAATAATAAATGTTTACAAAAGTTATGCCTATATAATATTTATAGTTGTCTCCTTTGAATGCTTACTATGACAGTCCTAGCTAGTAATAAATAATAATGATATTTCAATGGGTTAGCTGGAAATTTGGTAGCAAAGTGTGTATTGTTGACTTGTAAAATGTTCTAACTTTTATGCTTTTGCTTTTTGGATATGCATGATGATTGATAATCCTGGATTTGTGGCTCAATTATCCACATAAGGGCCATCCTCTTTAATTTTCTTTTTAAAATAATCTTGTCAAACATTGAACAAGCATAATTGTTTTTCTTTTTTCTTTTGGCAAGGGAAAAGCTGCTGTTTGGCACAAATTAATTAAGTTTCCCAAAAAAAAAACTATTATAAAACATCAAACAGTCCAGATATTATAAATTAAAGTCACAAGAATTTAAAAATTACAATTATTTTTAAAATTTTGCTATTAAAATCAGTTTTTCATAATTCATAAAATAACAAAAATATTATCTAATTTGAAATGATTATTTGTCAATTTTTTTTGTGAAAACATGTTATCAAGCTTTACAATCTATAATATCTAAGTATTTAATTATAATCAAACACTTTTTAGTTTATTATTGGGACTTTTGCAAATATAATTTATATTATAAGATCAAACTGGACCAACAACCTAGTGTTTATTATATTTTACATTATAATTAATTTATTATATTTGTAAATGATGTATTGGTGTATATAAATAATAAACCCTTTTTTCAAATTTTCAATGATAACCTTTTTATGTATTAATATAAACTGGCTGTGCTCTAAAATTTTAAAAAATTTAGTCTGTATTTTTTAAATATAAGATTTTTTTTCAGCCATCGGGCCAATTTATCCTTTATTTTGATTTATTATATCATAAAAGAAAAATGAGCCACATTATTTATTATTTATAAATTTTGAATAATGCCTAATTATATGTTTTATATTAGACTGTATTCTTTTGTAATATTTATGTGTATAGATACGTGATGCATGGTTCGTATTTTTTAGGGGGGGGGGGGAATCCTTTAAGCAGCCTTCTTCGGTTCATTTCTTTTTCAACCATTTTCTTTAATTTTGATTTTATTGATCCTAATGATTTTGATTATGTGCAAAGCGATCGTATGCACTCATCATTAAATTTGGATATGCACAATTGCATCCAGATGCTATAACTTTCAACTGTGTGTATGTGTAATGCGTGTGACAAGTTAAATTTACATTTTGGGTGATTATAAGTCATGCTTCATTGTAATTAATAAGATTATTTTTAATAGAAGAACATTTATAATTCCATAAGTAAAAAATATATAAGTAATATTTTTCAATCAAGTAACATCAGCACAAATTTTGCAATCATCGATCATTATGTAACTTATATAAAAGGCTATAGAGCGGCTTACAAATAATGAGAATGTTTGATGGATATAAACTATCTTAACATGTTTTGTTTATTTATATTACTTTTTCAGAATATTTATTTTATTAGCAATCATAATTTGTCGTGTCAATGTGTGTCGCGCTTATACACTAGCCAACGGTTCATAAAATGGATCCTTGGCTTTCTAGCTTTATAAAACCAAACATCACTTTGCTTGCAAGAATTATCTGGGAACAGGCACGGGGAACTAATTTTAAAAAATGTGTTTTGAATTAAAAAAATCAAATAAAAAAATTGTAGGAGCGATAATTGACTTCATTTTGTCTTGGAATGTAATTAATATATATATATATATATATAGATAGATAGAGAAAGAGAGAGACAAACATTATACATAGATCTATCCCCACAGTATCTTGGTTGTTGAATAGTATATACTCATAAATACATGCTTGATGAATGTTTTATAATAATTAATATTTGAGTGTTTCTCAATACAAAATGATGATGAAAGGATCCACCGCATGAAACATCATAATCTATAAATGTTTTTATGTGTGTGTGCGTGTTCATGTAAGTTATACACAACATTTACACAACATTTACAAAATAAATTTAGCCACTTGTTTTGGCCCAAAAAAAAAAATAGCCACTCGCTGTGCACAGGACAACTTGACATCTTCATTAATAAACACACACAGCCACACTAATTATATATATATATATATATATTTATTAAAATAATGTGCATATATGCGTGTGTATGCAGAATGGCGTGCACATCCCTATTTAGAATTAAATCTTCTCATATTTTTTTTAAATAGACTATTAATTATTCTGTGATCTCAAATTATAGAGTATACAAAATGGGAATGAACTAAATGCTGAGTGATATTTTAACTTGAAAGAAGTACAATAATAAGACGAGATAGATCTTGACTTTGATGGTTTAAATCTCACTCTTTTGATTTTATTTATAAAGTAGAGAAAGAACATTAGTTATAGTTTTGTTTACAAGGTACATTATCATTTTTCATGTTCACTTTTATTTGTGTCCTTGTTAAATAATAGGAAAATTCATTAAAAATAATTTTTTGTCCTCATCAAGATAGAGGTGAAATTTTTTTAAAATTTTAATACAGAGTTAACAAGATTTAAATTTTTTTATTCAAATCAAATATATTAAAAATAACTTGTGGATAAGAATAAATGGAGTATTTAAATGGTTTGAATGAGATACATGATGCTATGGATGTTATATACTCCCATCGGACCACAGTACAAGTTGTTGTTGTTCACTGATCTATGTTTCTAAAAAAAAGTTGGTCAAATTGTTAATTTTTTAAAATTTTTTTACATCTTCTCAATTACATTCCTGAGTGTAATGAATAGAATATTTAATTAATTTAAAATATTTTCATTAATTACTTACGTGAAATATAATAAAATAAGGGCATAATATTTTATATATATATATATATATATATATCATATCCAATATCCTACATTTTTGGACTAAATGGAGGTTTTAAAAAATATCACGTAATGGAATCTGGAATGTGAAAGAAAAAGAGGGAGGTTGGTGAAAAGAGAGGATGATACAGTAATGTGAAAGTCTGCTGATTTAGAGTGACTGAAAGGATGACGGACATAATTAGCTTTGATGACTATGACACACACACACACACACCCATTTCACACTAACTTTTGCTTCTTTTTAAGTCAATTTTGCGTTCTGCGCAGTCTGAACATGAATTTTCTTCATCACGCTGCCACACTTGCCCTTCAAAACCACGTTAAATTATTTGTTATTATTCATATCAATGCATCTCGGTACTCAATGTAAGGGTCCATTTATCCCTCCATAGCTTGCTCAAATGCTTCAATCCCTCCATTTAAAAAATACAAGAGATTTTAACTTATTTATACCACCAATGACTTAGTTAATAGCATTTATAATTATACATTTTTTCTATATTTACCTTTATAACTTTATTTAATATGATGTCTCAATAAAAAAAAATGTCATTAGTTAGACTCTAAATTAAGGGTACGTTTGAACAAATTTTATTAATTACACTTTAAAAGATTTAAAATACCATGTATGCCCTTTGAACCAATTTATAAAGACATTGATAACTATTTTACGATTCTTAAATTAAGTTAGTTAAAATCTTAATCTTTTAAAAAAATTTACGTTATACCCTTATTATTAAATTCTCTATATAAATGCCTTAATAATGACAAATGAAATATCAATGCATCATTTAAAAAAAAATAGTTATAATTGAAAAATAATTATAAAAATGACCTAATATCTCATATTTAAAACCAAACAATGCTTATAGAAGATGTCATATATTGTGATTGGGAGGAGTTTTTCTTAACATGCTATTTCACATAAAAAAAAAGGTTTCATAATACTTAAGGGAGCCAGATTTCAAAGTGAGCTTATTGTCACGAATGATATCTTCATGACCGTGTAAAGACCAATGTAATGAACGATCCGCTGGTTAGCCTTGCACAATATGGGTAAAGGGGGTGACATTGGCATTGGGTGCGTTCTGCCTCAATCTTCGGACTAAGTGTACAACTGGTCGGGGGCTAGTGCCGCCTCCCTAATGAGCCCATGGCAGGGCGAAACCAGTGTGATTCGTATGTGATAAGGCTTGTCCTAGGGATTATGGGGTCCTCGAGACGCCGCACGGGTGCCATGTGCTGCGCCAGACTCTCAGCCCGTGACAGAGTGGTATCAGAGCAGGACGTACTTTACTGCCGTGTGCCTGTGGAGTCCCACGTTGGGACTAGTCGATCTCGGCACCGCTCCAGTAGGCATGTGAGGTGCAGGTGGGTCCAAAAGTGGGGACTCGAGCGGGAAGGTTGGCCATGGTCGACTCCACTCCTGTTGGCTCGCGGGTGTGAGTGGGTCTGAAGAGTGCGGGACTCGGGTGGCCATTTAGCGGTAAGCTGATGTATGTGTGGCAGTACTGTACGTGCGATCCTTGGGCGGAGTCTTTCTCCCTTAGCACGAGGGCGTGCTAGATTGGGTGTGGAAAAATGTCACGGATAATATCTTCGTGATTGTGTAGAGACCAATGTAATGAACAATCCGCTGGTTAGCCTCACACAATATGGGTAAAGGGGGCCACATTGGCATTGGGTGCGTTCTGCCTTAGTCTTCTGGCTAAGTGCACAACTGGTTGGGGGCTAGTGCCGCCTCCCTGATGAGTCCATGGCAGGGTGAAACCAGTGTGATTCGTATGTGGTAAGACTTGTCTCGGGAATTATGGGGTCCTCGGGACGCCGCACGGGCGCCGTGTGCTGCGCCAGACTCTCAGCCCGTGGCATTATTCTCCCTAGATTTATGAATTTTCTGGGAAAAAACATCTAAAAAAATATGTAAATGCTTAAACTCTACCTATGTATTTTATATGTACACTATCTAAAAAGTATAATACCACGTCACACAAAAAAAATTAATACTAAAAACAAAAAATAAAAATATATACATGCATCACTATAAACACATATTACTATAAGTAAATATATAGTTTTCCTTTAAAAAAAATATATCGTTTTCCCGTGATTTACGACCTACCTCACTTGTCTGTTCGGGTATTCCAGCATGAGTGGGTTTGGTTCATACTTCACTTTCATAATTTTTTTATTCAGCACTAAAGGCTATTGAATCACGGGATACTACTAGGTTATGAAGTCAAATTTAATGTTAATATTCAAATATATTTTTGTTAAAAAAAAAGATTATCAATATCAATATATAGTCATCCTCAAAACATAATCAATACAGCAGGCTTGTTCACCCTGGCAGCAATTTCTTGAAAGTGATGGGGCCCACTAAACTTGTATGCTTCTATAAAACGCTTCATCACATTTACCTTCTTCGTTTGATATAGTATACTAGAAATTAAGCTCTTCGTATGTGAAAGATAATTCAAATTTTTTAAATGGGAGGATTGAAGTTTTTGAGTAAGCTATGGAGGGATAAATGGACCCTTACATTGAGTACCGAGATGCATTGATATGAAAAATAAGAAATAATTTAACGTGGTTTTGAAGGGCAAGTGTGGCAGCGTGATGAAGAAAATTCATGTTCAGACTGCACAGAACGCAAAATTGGCTTAAAAAGAAACAAAAGTTAGTGTGAAATGGGTGCGTGTGTCAAAGTCATCAAAGCTAAGTGTAATAGTAGAAATTAAGCTCTTCGTATAAGAAAGATAACTCAAATTATGTAAGTTATTCAGCACTTTCATGAACAATATTTTTTTCTAAAAGGTGCATGTAAATGGATGTAATGCAAGGATAGTTACAAACTATGAAGTCATGAAAGGACAACCCTCACTTTTTTTTTTTTGGCAACCCTCACACTCAATTTTATTTTTCAAATTGAAAAAATTAGTCTACCATCTTCAAAGAAGAAGGAGAAGTCTCTCAGTTGTATTTTTATTTTGCAATCATAAGAGATAGTTCGAATTGCTACTATGAAGCTATTTCCGCACAATTTTTTTTATTTTTATTTTTTTTGTGTTTGTAGTCTCTTGATCTGGATTAAAAATTGAGAGAATAATAGTTAGTTCCTAAAAAATGAATCAATGACAATTAGGCCCTTGACAAATGTTTTTATAAAATGAATTATACATATCACTTCAAACAGTTACAACCAGAAATTTATACCATAATTTAAAAGTTATACTTGATATTTAAATATTTATTTATAATTGAAACTCTTAGATTTATAATAATTTAAATTGATATTTTTAACTTATTTTTTAAAAAAATTATCAGGAACTTAACTGATATTAATTTAACATTTTAGGACCTAACCATCATTCTCTCTTAAAAAAGTTCTATTTAAAACATCTTGAAGATCATTTGAGTTTAGAGAATTTAAAGATTAGGCATAACAAAGGAGTTTGCTTCTGTTATAATCGACACCGTTTCATGAATTAGGACATCTCAAAGCTTCTGCGGGACTTTAATAGTTATATTTTTAAAAAATGTAGGCCCAACATTTTGTCTTTTCCTGCTTTCTCTATTCACTTTAACACACCCGTTTTAACACTTGCTTTGTAGACTTCATTTTTCTTTTTGTTAATATATTTGTCTTTTATAAAAAAAATAAAGAATAAAACTATCCAATGAACAATATTAAAAATATCTGATTCATTTTTTCACAGAAAAAAAAATCACCAACCACTATAAATTTATTAGCTCAGGCATAATGTCCAAATTAAGAAGGTCGTGCCAAGATGAATGTTCCAAACCTCTGGATCAAGCTTTTATCTGTTCTCAGTTGAACTCATAAATTCTTCAGAAGGAGGACCTTACCTTGAAGTAATCAACATGTATGTGATGTGCTATTTTCTGGAGCTTCACCAGTGAAAGAAATGTGCTCCACTGGATCCAGCTAGTTTCTGTTGCAGCATTTCGACTTTCGAGCCAGCTCCTTCGAACCCGGTTCGCTATTGGACGACCTCTTACACTGTAATTGAAACAGAAAATGGGCCTGGATGAATGGAGTGGCCCAAGAAGGAGGCCGAAGCCCAATCCTTATAAAGTGGGGAGAAACATGGGCTATTTTGCTTTCTGTTGGGGCTTCATTTCTCCATTTCCATGGCACATTATCTTATTTATGCTTTGTTTGGAATGAAAAGAAAGCAGGGAAGAGAGAAAGCTAGAATAAAAGGCTAGAGGAAAAATACATTTTTTTCTCTTATTTTCTCCTGATTTTTCCAAAGAGAGGGTATAAACTAAAGGAAGAACGTCATGTTAAGAAGGAAGAGTAAGAGGCTGTACTGTTTTTATTTTATTGTTCTGAGAACTAGTGTTTTGTAAAATATGTTCTGAGAACAAAAAATAATAAAAATAAGTATTTTTTTCATTCTCTGTTATCCTTCAGAACAATAATTTCAGAATACTTGAAAGTTGTTTTTATTTTTCTGTTCTTCAGAATAATATTTTATTTTTTTTGTTCTCTAAGACATATTTTAAAAATACATTATCAAACAAATTTTTTATTCTTTTGTTCTAAAAAACAGAAAATTATTCCAAGAATAAGTTGCCAAACAGACTTCATATTTTTTTCTTTCGTGTTTTTCTCTCATTTCTATTTTTTTCTCATTTCAAGCAAAAGAGGTATATTTTTGAAAACAAACAAGCTTGAGTTATGCTGAAACTTGCACTAAACTTGATGCGAATATCTTTTAAGGGGTTAGATAAACATCTAAGTTACATGCATGAATTGAACTTTATGATTACTGGTTAAAAGTTGTTTGTGGTTAACAGAAAATAAGAAATGTGACATATCCATGATATTGGGTTTAGACGCAAATGATTGAAATAAGAGACGAGGGAATTTGTTTTCAACAAATTCACAGGCTTTATGTTGTGTCTAAAATGATATCAAGTACTTAATCATTTCCAAATTTTTTGTTGGTTTTGACATTTTTCTCCTCTAAGAAGCAAGAAACAGGTCTCAGGGTAGGTTCAACATATTGTGAATCTGTAATGTCGGGACGTGTAATGCTATAAATCTTCTTGTTCAAGAAATTGAATTATAGGATTTTTTTTTTTTTTAAGGTTCTCAGGTGGATTATTCAAATCACTGAGCCAAGGATCATTTTATTATAGCAGCCCAAATACCAATAGAGGCAAGTCTCTTGGTTACATGATAACATCAATAAAGTTTGAAAGTATGGCAAGATTGTATGTGAAATATTTGGCAACATCAACTGAGAAAAAGCAGCATTGTGATTTCTATGTTCTCTTTGAGTTCAAGAATGAATAAGATCATTCTATTATGTCTACTCTAAGCTGGTTTTTGCCTCCTCTGTCCCCAATATCAAATGAAAGACAGCCAACCTGTGATCAACAATGGTTGACTTCACTCCTTGTCCTTGCAAGGTCCACCAAGCCATCTTCATTTATAAATTCTAAACTGAAAAATAACAGAAAATATACGATATCATATCATAAATCTTTATTATCTCATGTATCAATTTTTATTTTTAACTTTAATTTAACAGTAAACTATATGTAAAGTACTTAAAACCATAGCCATGATTCAATGGTTATTCCCATCTCTGAGTCAATAATTTCAGGATTTCAAAAAGTTTAATGATATAACTGAACATATTTTTCTATGAATTAGGTGAAAATGAAAAAAAAACACACATTCAACTTTAGCTGACCGGAGGGACCCATGGTTATTAGTAATGGAAAGGCCAAGTACATCTCTGGCAAGAAGTGCGAGAAATAAAAGAATTCACTGTAATGAGTGAGAAGAAACTCGTCAATCAATTATACTTCGTATCACAACCTTTTCGATTGCTTTTGCCCCCCTCACCCAAATTCTTCATATTTAAAAATATGCTAATTCTCCTTCGAATCTCACGCATTTCTCCACTTCCTTCAGTATTTTCGGGTTTTTATTCTTTCAGCTGAACTTGCAATTTATTCGATCAAACCCGTAATTTCTTTCACTTTCCGGCAAGTATCGCCTTTAAAAAATTTCCTGATTTTTGCTTGTTTATGCGAATCCATCTGGTCATCTTATCCCATTGAGTTTCTAGCTGCTAAAACTCATCTGGGTTTTTTCAAATTTGTCTTCTTCTTCTTCTTCTTCTTCTTAAAGAAATCCGAGTATGGGGATTCAGAGAGACAGGGTAAGATTCAATGTTGGAGGAAGAATCTTCGAAACGACAGCCACAACCCTCGCCAACGCCGGCCGTAGTTCAATGTTTGGAGCAATGTTTGACGAGAGCTGGAATCTTATCGCTGATAATTCCACTGAGCACTTTATCGATCGCAACCCTGATTGCTTCGCCGTTCTTCTCGACCTCCTCCGATCCGGCGAGCTCTACATTCCAGTGAACATCCCGGAGAAGCTCTTGTGCAGGGAGGCTCTATACTATGGCCTCATCGACCACGTTCGTTCAGCAAAATGGGGTCCATTTGATGGCAATAGATTGACCCTTTCCCGCTCCATAACAGGTCAATCTCCTGGCGACGGAACCGCCATTCGCGCCGGCCCAGATGGTGGTTGCTGCGTTGCTCACGGAAGCATGGTTCATGTCTACGATTGGATGCTCGACGAACACCCCCCATTAAACCTCGATTACCAAGGGGTCAACGATGTAGGTTGGGCCGACGCCGATCATGTTGTCATCGGCGTCAGTCAGCGGCCCGGCCGTGGCGACGGCGGATTGGGTCTCTTCAGCTCGTCAAGGGGGGAGCTCAGGTAAACTAAAACAGAAGCTATATTCAATTTTTAGCACTTGAGTTATGACTTGATCTTAGAGACTAAATTCTGTTTTACTCTGAATTGTTTGAACAACAGTTTTCTATATCTTGGATAATTATATATATTGTATTAGGTGGTTTGTTTGTTTGCTCATTCTTATGATTAATATATTGATATAGGTACCATTGTGAGAAATTGTGCTTTCTCTGTTGTTACTTGTGTTCTTATTCTGCACCAAAGTGATATTTGAACCATCTTGATTCTATTTCTGCATCATCAGGCATAAGTTCCAAGTCAGCCATGAGAATCAAGTGAAGAGTTTCACAGCAGGAGCATTGAGCTTCAGTTCAGATTATAAGATATTCTCAAGCTGCAAAGGAAGAAGCAACGAGCATGGGATTGGTGTTTGGGATCAGATCACTGGGGAGCAAATTGATTTCTTCTATGAGCCTCAGGGATGGTCACTTGGTGAAGCAGACAAGCTTCAATGGCTAGAAGGGAGAAACTGCTTGCTGGTTTCTACTCTGTTTCCCAGAAAAGATAACTGTTACATAAGCATGTTGGATTTCAGAGATAAGAACATGGTTTGGTGTTGGTCTGATCTAGAAGGTCCAGATCTAGCAGGAGATGAGAAAAGGGTTCGAGACGCGATAGCGATGGAGGACAACAACTCAATCTGTGTGGTGAATGAGTATGAAGATTTAGGGTTTATGGATTTGAGAAATTCTGGGATAGCTTCTGGTATAAGGTGGAGTTCCAGAAGCAAGTTGACGAAAGGGAAGATGCCAGAAGAGCCTTGTTATCCCAAACTGGCTCTGCATAATGGTCAGCTTTTCTCTTCCATGAATGATTGTATTTCTGTGTTCTGTGGGTCTGATTGGGTTTTGACATCTAGGCTTAGAAGAAGCCATGGAGGTTCAATATGTGACTTTTCCATCGGAGGGGATAGGCTTTTTGCTCTTCATAGTGAAGAGAATGTGTTTGATATATGGGAGACTTCAAGGCCTCCAATCATCTAATTCCATATTACAGAGATCTAGATCAACCTCTCTGGTTGAACCTTTAAACTGATTTAATAAAATATTTTGTTTATGATCAATTTAATCACAAGTTGATGGCATTTTGACCATTAATTTTTGGATCAGTTCCTTGATAAATTCAATTATTAGTCTGCTTTTCAGTATCTTGTTTAATTCAACTATTTTTCATATCACTTTGGTCAAAACTACACCAACAGCTTTCCAAACACGAGTTTAAAACAAGAGCTTGCTTGTTCTTTGTAGCATTCTTTTTGTTTGTGTGACCTTTTTTTTCCCCTGCTTCTTCTAAGATGGTGCCAAGGCTTTCACCTGTATAGAACACGAAAGTTTTGGGTTGTAGCTAAATGGGTTGCTTTGTATTGTATGAAATTTAAGATGAGAGTCTTGTACATAGCATGAGTTGTTAGAACTTTATATTATATATTCAATATTGTTTGATATTTGAACAAAGAAGAAGATGTTATATATTTACGAGTATTTATTTTAACTTTTGCATTGTCCGATACTTCTTTTTATACTAGTACTTGTGTAGTGAAGAGATATGCCCTAACAAATGAAGCATGAAATCGTGGTATTAAAATTGTGAATATATGTGTATCTATATGTTTAATTGTTTCACCTTGATAATGGAGCCGTCACTTTTGAGCTTGATATATGTAAATATGTCTTAACAATAATAACTAAATTGTTTTCTTGGTGCAGAAAACGCCAAATGGAGACATAAACCCAACTTCTTAGAGTAATTAAATAGTATGTTAAAACCCTAGATATCACTTATATGTAAGATATTTTTAATCAAAATTTGATAATTAAGAAAGGTGATTGAAATTAGTTAAGAATCTTGATTTTTTTCAAAAAAAAATTATAAAAATTCCAAATTACCCTTAATTATAATTATTAACATTACTACCGTTAAATCTTAATCTTAAACATGTCACCTAAATAAATCAATTAGATATGTAGACATTTTTGTAAATAATTTATTAAAACTTCATTAAGTTTTATAAAGTGTCTTATATTTAGAATTAGGCAAAGTTTCTTAAAAATATTTTATAGTAAGAACTCGAGAGAGTATATTTTTTAAGAGAAATAATTTGTTTCATTTTATATGTCTTTTTACAAGTTCAAAGTATTACTGTTTATTAGTCCTCTGGTCTTATTTATAGGGTTGAAAGAGAAGAAAAAATTTGATCTTATTTATCAGGTACTTGTCAATTTCAATATCCGTCTTTACATGTTTACTCTTATTAAATGTTTTAAATAAAAATATCAGTGATAAAATTTAAGAATATTTAATAGAGGTAAATATAGAAACCTATTAAATTTTAAGACAAAATTAATAAGATTTAAAGTTTTCTTTAATTTTGGTGAAACATTTTGGAAGTAATTTATAAATAGGACCAAAGAAAGTATTATTTTTTATATTCTCTCTATTTTAAATTATAAGATATTTTTAGACAGAATTACATATATCAATAAAATTTATTAAATAAACTTTACAATTTTATTTTTTCAAAATAAAAATATAAAATTTTAAAAATATTTTTTATTTAATACTTTATTTATGAAATAATATTAAAAATAGAAAATATAATGAAAATAATAATGTTAAAAAAATATCATTAATAAAATTTTATTTTTTATTAAATTATTTTATATTTTAAGATATCGAAGAAAGTGACTTTGGAATGAGAGGGGTAATATATTCTTAATTGCTCTAACAACTTCTAAGAGCATTTATTAAATTTTAGAGACAAATTTTTTAATATATTAATTGCATTTATTAATATACGTGGAGAAACCTTAAAAGAATTTTGAAACAGAGGGGGTAACTTAAACGAAGGAAAGGTTGATTTTAATGTTTAAAAGACTTTTGCACTTTGAAGTTCGCAACATTGATAACTCTACAATGAACAAAACATGGTCAGTCTTAAGATAATATTAACTACTATTCTTTTAATCTTATTTATAAATTATTTTTAATATATTTTATTAATATTAAAAAATTTTAAAATTCATTAATTTTATTTTAAAATTTAATAAATTTTTAACTTTATCCTTATTAAATATACATATTTTAATAATATGTTTTCTTTCTCTAACATTCAATAAAAAGTAAAAAAAATTATGATAAAAAATTAATGACAAGACTTATAAATAGAATCAAAAAATTTTTTTTTTTACCTTATAGATAGAATCAAAGGAAGTAATTAACAAGGTTTTAAATGTAGGAGTGGAGACAAGGAAGACCAATAGGGGTCACTGCTCTCCTAATTTTTTTAATAAAATGTAAGGGTTATAAATTTTTAATCTCTTAAATTGACGTGTTATAAAAACCTTAAGACATTAGATGAAATTTTTATTTCAATTTTATAGTAATTTCTTACGCGTTTATAATCCAACTATTGTAGTAGTTTGAATATATAATTATCATAGAATCTATTTATTTTTAACAAGATAACGTTATAGTTACTCTTAAAGCATTAATATCATTTAATTTTACTTTTATTTTATATTTGATAGAATAAATTATGAGAATTATTACTAACAAACTTTACCCAAAATTTCAAAATATATTACATGAAAAATATATTAATTGAAAGAATTAGATAGTAAATTTAATAAGTAAGTAATGAAGTTTTTTATATTGAATGAAACTTTAAATTTAAAAGATGCATTTAAATTATTTAATGCTTATAGAGAAGATAGAATCTTTGCAAATTTAATGATAATTTATATTGAGAGAGAAATTTTTAAAATTTGATCATAAACATGATAATTTATTATTCTTATACTATAAAAAATTAATGAGTAAAATTTAAAGAAGTGAATATATATTTATTTTTGTTATATATATAATTAAATATAAATATATAGGTTAAAACATTTTTGATATGTGAGTGATATATATAGATTTAATTTTTTTTAATTATCATATATATTTTGTTATTTCGACTCCTTCTAAAATTTTTTTTTGACTTTGCCGTTGTCTCGTGTGTGTTTTTGTCCCCCGCCTCAATTGATGGACTCGGGCCTTACTTTCTTGAGAGGGGTGATTTGGGAGAAGAAGCTATCACAAGAGGTATTTAGTTGCAAGTGGTGGAAAAGTTCGGTAACATATCCCATTTTCATGTATCAAGTATCAGCCCATCACTGTTATTATTATTATTATTATTATTAATTGTGATTAGTTGGAGTAAAATTGACATACTCCCTCCATGTTTTTTTAATAATATAGGACCAAGTTATTTCATAGTTTTGAGTGTGTTTATTATGTCTTTATTTTTTCTCCTTGTACTTTTACAGTTTTGCCTCTACTTTTGTATTTCAACTTTTATTTGTTTATTTTAACATAATACTCGTTCTTCCCTTGGACAAAAGTTTTGGGGTGTGTTTGGATTAAGATTCGGTAAGATTGATGACGGATAAATTGATTTATGCGATGGGTTTTTGAGTATAATTAATCATGTTTTGTAGTGTAATTGATTGATAAATTGATAAGATTAATTTTGAGGATAATTTTTTTTTTTGGTAAGAAATAATTACCTATTATATTCACACAAGGTAGGGACACCCGGCCACCACTTTTTTCCATAATAAAAAACGAGCACACAACAACTTTATTAGAAGAGAGGCGCCAGCGCCACCAGACTATAAGAGCCCCACTATTTTGAGTATAATTGAAAAGGCAAAATCGAAAATAAGATAAACTATTATTTTTTAAAAATATATACTTTTGTTGTTTTTTACTGTACTCTTTTCCTAATTTTAGAAAACATTCTAAAATCTTTTTATATATACTTCCAATAATTTTTTTTGTCCAATCCCTAACAAATAATTTAACCATTAGTATATTTAATTAGGGGCAGAATTGAAAATAAAAAAAATCTAAACATAAATTAAAGATTGTTAAGTACTCCTTCCAGTCCCATTTATAAGTCACATTCTAAAAGATTTATTTGATCTCATTTATAAGTCATGGTACATCTTTTTAAGTAATATTTAAAAAATATTTTTAAAATTATTCTTCATGAGAGAAAAAAGGTAATAGGATATTACTTTTTAAATTTATTATATAAGGGTATGTTTAAAATTTTACTTATTTTTATTTTTTATACTTTTATTGTATTGATATTGATAAAGTTGTTAAAAATAACTTATAAATAAAATTGTGAGTACCGTTTTTTGCCTTAAGAGTGATAGGAGTGTGATGAAGTGTTCCAGTCAATGAAACTCTGTGAGAGGTGCTCCATGACGTGGCAGCAGTAACAGAATATGCCAAACACGACTTTAATACCTAAATTTACAAAATACTTGTCACGCCTAACAATGTTGTTTGTTTATATAACGGATTATTTCTGATCAGCCATACCTTTCTTCACACTCAATGCTTTACCATACCAATCATGCCACGGTGTGAAACTCACTTGTTTGAACGGAGAGAACAAATATTTTAAAAAAATTCTTAAAAGTGATAAAAAAATTACTATTTTTAAAATATTTTATTCTAGTTTTCTTTCTTCCCTTTTTAATTTTTTTTTTCTTTTCATTCAAACCAAGCCTTCTAGGAAGCAGTCCTCCAAATTGTCTTTCACATTATATTTTTTTTAAATATCTTTCATTAATCAGCCTTTTTTTTCCCTTTATCATTGAGTAATTGCTTGTAGAGGTAAATTAATTAATTATTTGGCGAGAGATTAACAGAGGATGGTGGCAACAACAATAAGTGAAAAAGAATGGCAATTTGATAACCCAACGCCCAGCTACTTATGTCGGTGTTGTTATTGGACTCACCTCGACTTCCAACAACCTCCAATTTTTTGTTCAACGTCTTAATTTAAAATCATTGTATTCTTTAATATTATATTTTTAAAATTAATTTCAGATTTCTTGTAATTTAAAATTTAAATTGTACGAAAGGTTAAAATTCAATACTTTATATTATTAATATTTTTTCAATTTTAGCATCTTCAATCATGTTTTGCCCCAACTTCAATCTGTTCCTAGCAGGTTTCCTTTTTCTGTAACAGATTTGATTGAATATTGTGCATATTGCACTTTACGTGGTCAACAGTGTACAAATATATACAATATCGCGTAGCAAAAATCTCATGCATCTTGCCTACAATCTTGTGTGCATAATAATAATAAAATATTATATTCTATCACTGTTTCAAAACTAACACAACGTGCATGCATGAATCACGCAATCTTCATTATTTCCATCACTCCCCCTCAAGTTGGGGCGTGCAAGTTCATAACACCCAACTTGCTCGTCAACATCTGTAATCTGTCTTTGCCAAGTGCCTTTGTAAAAAGATCTGCTAATTGGTTTCTTGTCCAGATTTTTTTTGGCTTAATCTCCTTTGACTGAACTCTTTCCCGTACAAAGTAACAATCCATTTCCACATGCTTAGTTCGCTTGTGAAAAATTAGATTCATTGCTATGTGCAAGGCTGCTTGATTGTCACAGTACAGTAGGGTTGCTTTGTTCTGGGGTGCCTGCAGTTCTTTCATGAGCCACCTTAACCATACTACTTCACTGACTGTGGATGCCATGGCTTGATATTCTGCCTCCGTTGATGATCTGGACACCACACTCTGCTTCTTTGATTTCCAAGACACTGGAGACCTGCCAACTTTGATTAAATACCCAGTGCATGATCTTCGCATTAGTAGGCAGCCCGCCTAGTCCGCATCACAATATGCTTTAAGGTCTAGGGAGCCTTTGGTCGTGGGTAATATACCTTGTTCTAGTGTGCTCTTGAGATAGCGAAGTATTCTCTCAGCTGCAACCATGTGAGTTTGTCTTGGTAAGCCCACGAACTGACTAAGTAGATTCACTGTATAAACAATGTCGGGTTGTGTGATTGTCAAGTATTATAGTTTGCCCATCATCCTTCTATACCAAGACACATCGACATATGGATCTGAATCATCATTTTGCAGCTTGCAATTTTGCTCTATGGGAAAACTACTAGGACGACAATGCTCTATGCATGCTTTTTTTAAGATATCTTATGTGTTTTTGCGTTGACTTAAGATAAAACCATGTGATGATCTTGCCACTTCAATCTCAAGAAAGTACTTGAGTTTTCCCGAATCCTTTATGCTAAATTTTCGATCAAGATGCTGTTTAGTTTCTTGTATCTTGCGCATGTCATTTCCAATTAGGATTACATCATCCACGTAAATGAGGCATACCACATAAGACATAGAATTTTGATAGACAAACAGAGAGTGATCTGCCTTGCTTTGTTTAAAACCAAAGTTCATTAATTCCTGCGTCAGTTTTTGGTGCCAGTTTCTGGATGCTTGTTTCAAATCGTAGAGTGACTTTTTCAGCTTGCACACTCTTGTCTCCCCCTCACGAGCGAAACCTTATGGGATACACATGTATATGTCTTCATCAAGATCACCATGAAGAAAAGCATTATTGACATCAAGTTGGTGGACAAACCAATCTCGTTTTGCAGCAACAGCAAGTAGTGTACGCACAGTGACAAGCTTAGCAACAGGTGCAAAAGTGTCATGAAAATCAACGCCCTCAACTTGGGTGAATCCGCGAGCTACAAGTCGAGCTTTGTGACTAGCGATTTCACCATTGGGCTTAAACTTAATCTTATACACCCATTTAGAATTAATGAGATTCTTTCATGGCGGTAGAGGGACTAAGGACCAGGTTTCATTAGCTTCTAGGGTGGCAATTTCTTTCTTCATGGCATCACACCAATAGGCATATTGGCGAGCCCGGAAGTAAGACTTAGGCTCATCGGTGGTCATAATGACCGTAAGAAAAGCCTTATGAGAAGGGGAAAACTTATTGTATGAAAGATGATGAGTAATGGGATATCTGAAAGAGTTGTCTATTGGAGAAGTAATGCATGAATGAGCAGAGGGGGGTGCAACTGATGAGGGGAGTTCCACTTCATAATCCTTTAGCTTCAAAGGAGCTGTACACTGTCGAGTACTATGTCTTACAAGTGGAGGTAAATTTGAAGCATTGGTTTGGTTACTTGGACTGTCAGTAATTGGTTCTGATTGCACCGACTCAATAGAAATGATTTGAGCCCCTTCTAGGGTATCATTGGTGAAGTCTGTCAGTGGGATCAGATCAGGCACATTTCCAAAATCTGTGGACATGTGAGTATACGAGGACAGTGATTGTATGCGATTAGCATTATGATCACGTGTAAAGGGAAAGGAGTCTTCCACAAAGAGAACATCTCGTGACATAAGTGCCTCACGTGTGGAAGGGTCATACAATTTGTATCCCTTTGTGCCATGAGGATGTCTAATAAACACATATGCTCGTCCCCTCTCAGTAAATTTATCTTCACACATTGTTATCCTAGCATAAGCAAGACACTCGAGCACACGCATGTGATTGTAACTGGGACGTCTACCATGAAGCACTTCATAAGGGGTCTTGTGTTGAATCACCTTGGAGGGTAATCGGTTGATGATGTAAATTGCAGTGAGAACACACTCTCCCCATAGAGACATAGGAAGTTGAGCATGAAATGGCAAGGCACGCACTTTCTCCAATATATGCCTGTGCTTACGTTCAACAATACCATTTTGTTGCGGTGTATAAGGGCATGAAGTCTGTAACTGGATCCCATTCTCTGCATAAAATTTCATCATGAAGTTAGACTTGAACTCAAGTCCATTGTTTGATCGAACCTGTTTCACTCTCTTCCTATACTGAGTTTCAACCATTTTAATAAACATTGGCAAAAAATAGCTCACATCAGATTTGTTTTTCATCGGGTAAACCTAAACTCCCCTATTGAAATCATCTACAATAGTTCAAAATAATAAGCACCAGTAAGTGAGGCAACTTTATAACCTTCCCATATATCATAGTGAATAAACTCAAAACAGGCTTGAGACTTTATTGAACTAATGCCAAAAGGCAACTGGGTTTGTTTTGCTCTAATACAAGCATCACAATGTTTATTGTCAACATGAGTAGAACATAAAGAAAGCTTATTTAAATTCTCAGTTGGTGTGTGACCCAATCTGAGATGCTATAAATCTACATCTTTATCTCCTTGCATAGCCATAGCTGCTCCCCCTTTCTACAAAGGCTGCAAGAAGTATAGACCATTCATGCATTTACCTACTCCAATCAGGCTCCTTGTACTCAAGTCCTGGATCACGCAGAAATCAGCCAAGAATATCACAGCACAATTAAATTCCCTAGTAAACTGGCTCACAGAAAATAGATTGCATCTAAATTCAGGTATATAAAGAACTTCATTTATCTTTAGTGTTGATGAAATCACAACATTGCCTATCCCATGAACAGGAACCTTCTGCCCATTTGGAACACGTACAGCCGGCATGGTAGTAGCTCTTAAGTTTATAAATTTTGCTTAGTTATGGGTGATGTGAACCGAGGCACTAGTGTTGATGATCCATGGTTCATCATCCCAAGAAATACCTGCCATGTTGACTGAGTGTTAGACTTGCTCCTTGCCATTTGTTCCGAAGAATTCTATCAACTTTGAAAATTGGTCTGCTGTTATTCCTGGAATTAGGCTCGAAGTTGCATCTTCGCTTACTTGTGCGACTCTCAGTACAAATTTCTTATCCTTCTTTTCATGTCCACCCTTTTTCCAATCTGGCGGATAGCCTATCAACTCATAGCGTTTGTCTTCTATGTGCCCAAGTTTATTGCAATGATTACACCGTGGCTTATCATGTTTTCCATCTCTTTGATCATTCTGCACTTGAAATGCAGAAGCTTCCATCGTGGGTCTGTAAGTGGCCGAAATCTGCTTCTGTTGCTCATCTTCAGCCACTAAGTGATATGCCATATGAGTTTTGGCAATGGTTTCATGCTAAGAATTTACGTTTTTATGGTCGCACAATCTTCCTCCAATCTCATAAGAAAATCATATAAGTGCTCCCTCTCCTTCATCTCAATTAATTGTTTCTGTAGTTCACACTTACAGCCCCCACAGGCACACTTTGGCCATGGCATGATTGAATTCAACTCATCCCAGTAACCTTTCAACTTTGTAAAGTAAGTAGGGATTGATTGTTTATCTTGCCTGGTGTGTGCTATGGTTCTCCTTAGATCATAAGAACGTGGCGCACTTCCCTTGCCGAAGCGTTCCTCTAGATCAACCCATATTTCTTGTGCCGTCTTTGCATAACGGACACTGCTTCTGATTTCCTTGTTCATTGCGCTCTTCAGCCATCCTTTCACCATGGCGTTACAGCGCATCCAATGGTTGAGATCAGATGAGTCAGCAGTCGGCGTGGGAATGGATCCGTCGATAAAGCCTATCTTGTTCTTAGCAAACAAAGCATTGCTCATGTCATTCACCCATTCTCCATAGTTGCTTTCATGAAGAAGTTCCCTAACATACACCTAACCCGGATTATCTGATGCATGAACGTAATAATGTGATTGCACGTCCACACCTCCGGTGAGTCCCTCCTTCATGATGGTCTTTCCGTCCGTTGCCATGCTCTCTGTTTAGTGTTGAAATCTCTGGTTTGTGTGGTTTTAGGATCGATGCTCTAATGCCATAACAGATTTGATTGAGTATTGTGTATATTGCATTTTATGTGGTCAACAGTGTACAACTATATACAGTATCGCGTAGCAAAAATCCCATGCATCTTGCCTACAATCTCGTGTGCATAATAATAATAAAATATTATCTTCTATCACTGTTCTAAAACTGACGCAACGTGCATGCATGAATCACGCAATCTTCATTATTTCCATCATTTGGGTAGCAAACGAAGGTTTTTTTTATTGTTCATAAGCATGTTTTTGACTTATTTGATGTGCAGTTATGCACTAAGTGTGAGTACATTTTTCAATGGGAATACAAATCTATGAGCCAATTGGTAATTTTTTTATCCAGCTATTCAGCAAGGCTATTGATTGATGAAAATTTGGTTATCGACACAAACAGATGACAATTTCTTGATATAACCTTTTCATACATGAAATTCAAAAGTTTATTTAAGAAATATACAACATCTTCTACAAATTTTATCTGACCTAAAATATAGAGCATTAGGTTTGTTTTTATAATTATTTTTTCAACTGAACCCCTGCTCTATTTATTGCCATTTTTGGAAAAAATGATGCATTTGAAATCATCATTAACACACTTATTAATGAGAATATAATTAAAAAAATGTACCATTTTTAAGAGATCAAAGTTATACATAATTTTTTTTAATAACCATGAAATGGTCACCGATTTCATATATTATAGTATAGAAATTGTATCAGAGATTTGGTTGCTATTAAAGATTATTAAAACCATGTTCTCATAAAAGCAAATAAATAGGAGTAATTGTTTTTTTTAATAAAAATAGTAAGTAGAGTTGAATAATAAAGGGGTTGATATTTAAAAAAATATATACATTACAAAACTCTCATAAATATAACATCTATATAATATTATTTCCGTTTCGAATTATAGGACATTTTTTAAAAAAATTAGTGTCCTAAAATATAAGAAATTCTAACAAAAATGAAATTTTATTAATGATGTTCTTTCAATATCATCTTTTTTATATATTCTTTTTTTTAATATTCTTTGACAAATTGAGTATTAAATGAAAAATATTTTTTAAAGTTTGTATTTTTTTTAAAAAAATAAGATTGTAAAATGTATTTAATAAATTTTATTAGTATTAAGATGAAAAAACTATTAAAAAAATTTAAAAACTTGAAGATCATGGCTTCCATTGGTCCCCTCCCTCCACCTCTTGTTGTGATTTCTAATAAATCTAAACATGCATGGAAGGCTTATTATCATGTTTAATGCCTCCTAATATGCATAATTCACAATAAAAAAAGCTTGTCTTTGCATGCCCTCTAACGTGCACAATTCACTAAAAAAAACTTTTTTTTTTCCTGCTAATTACGATACAGAGTCTAATAGCACTTAGAATCTGTTAGATTGTTGAAAAAAAGAAGGGAATTGAATGGATTAACAAAATAAAAGCAAAAAACAGTTTACCAAAAAAAATAAAGGCAAAAACAAATTAATCAAAATGTGAAGGGAAGATAAACTATATTCATGAAGTAAAATGATAATTTAGTTTGTGAGATTGAAAATTATGATTTATAAAATTTATGAAAGGCATGATGATTATCACATCTGTGATATATGTATTATCATAAAAAGTTAAACACTTGTCAAAAGAGTTTCGTCATTAATATAATCATATCTAATTCGACTCATGAATAATGAATAATTGTATCAAATGAAGAAAAGAAAGGATGATTTAATTTATTTTTTATTATTATTTTTATTTTGCAAACGAACCTTTACATCTTGTAAGGTTATGGATTCAATCCTACATATTGATTGCATTTAACAGAAGACATTCACACAAGCATCAAGCAATGAATTGAAGGAGAGCAACTTTCAAAAGGAAAGAAAGATAACTTTCAAAGACCAAATTAGGGTTTTGTTTGTTTACCTGTCGGTGACTCACTCGCTCTTATTACATCACAAGTCACAGCAGATTGCAAGTCTTTCACACCACCCGCTCGCTGTACGGCTGTAGCCTTTAAAAAAAATAAATAAATCATATTTAAATATTATGTACACTGTTCATCGTGTCATGTTGTTTAGCTGCCAGGCAGTGAATCTGAGACCATGACTATCAGATGCTTTTATGGGAATGATGAATCAGGGAATCCGATTATAAAATCCTCAAACGAGGCTTCTTCCTTAAATATCATTGTCATTCAACTCTACTTCTACCCCACAAGCCACCAATTTGTTCCTTCGCTTTCCCCTCTTCGGATTACTACCGGGCACCTTGATTGAAAGAGGAAGGAAAGCGAACCAGAACTGTCTTTTCCTGCACGATTCTTTATCTAAGTACGGCCATTTCTTCAGCTCGAAGCTTCGTATATCCGTTCATCACCTCGGCCCCATTACAGTATTTATCATTATTGGAGTGAGAGAGAAGGAGAGGGGTATACTAGAGATGGATGTGTGTGGAAGAAGAGGTGGGGCTAGAGGCGGTGTGGTGCCTGGTTCGGTGTGGGAGAGCAGGATGAAGAGTGACGAAGTGAGAGGTGGGATTAAGGTCTTCAATGGAGAAGAAAGTCCTGAAGAAGGAGGGGATGGTAGGACCAGATTGAAGAATCCCAAACGGGAAGAGGAAGACTTGGAAATCGGAGAGCTCGGAGGGTTTCGATAGGAACCTAATTCTTGTAGCTCGACGAAGATCATCAGAGCCGCTCAAGAATTGCGATGGACTGAGCAAGGGGCTTAGTGTTTCTTTAGATGGAATCAAGAAAAGCCCAATTCTTACCAGGAAAATTTCTTCGTCCGCGGAAAAATGCGAGAGAAGCCCCGTTCTCATGAGAAAGCTAAGATCCGAATCCGCTGAGGAACCAGAAACGAATTCGAAGCAGCTCAAGAAGTCGAAATCAGAATCTATTAATCAAAAGGTTGAGGATGTCGATGGGCCCGGTAATGGAAATCCGGAGAATTCAATTCACTTGAGGAAGACAAAATTAGTGCCGGTCGAAGTTGAAGATGAATCTAAGAACAATACTGTTGGGTTTTGCAAGGATTTCGTTTTGTGCACAGAAAAGGTTATTTCAAGCCGTTCAGAAAATGTAGGCAATGTAAAAAATCCTCCTGAATTATCGGTGAAGGTTGGTGGCGATATAATTGCTGATATTGACGACGAAGCAGATGAAAGAGTTGAAGTAGATGAGGAGATTAATATGGTGAAGGAGAATGTGAAGGAAATCAATGTCTCTGAGCTTAAGGCTGTAAATGAACCTCAACACAAGAAGGTTCTGATCCAAAAGCGATTTCAACATGATCAAAGGCCTGTCTCAATGCCTCGCACAACGAAACAATCTTCCCCAATTAAAAGGCATTCCTCAATTTACCAAAATTTCAGAAAATCTCATTCAAGTATGTTCTTTCAGGTTTACATACATTTTTGCTCTTTCAATCTGTGTTTGGTGGTTCTATGCTTGTCATTTTGAAGGCTGACTAATTTTTTACCCTCTATTAGTTCCAAAGGCTGACGAGCACCATACCTTTCCACAAACCCAGAACAAATTGCAGAGCCTAGGTGATGATCTATTTACATTTCACAACCATGGAAGTGAATTGCATTCATTTTCTAACAATTATTCTACATATTTGTCACTCCTCAGTGGATTTAATCATGTGGAGAGAGGTCTCAAGATCAGCATTTGTCTTCGGCATTGGAACATTCATCATAATCTTATCTTCTTATGCAAAGGATATCAATGTGAGGTCAGAAATCCACAGTAAAAATGTTTATTGTGATTACATATATTCCTGTTGTCTCAGAACAGAGCCCAGAACTGACATGCTTTAATCGTTGATCCTACAGTTCTATTTCCGTGATGTCCTATCTGGGCCTTGCTTATCTTGTTGCTATCTTCCTCTACAGATCCTTCATTTGCAGGTAATAACCCTACAAGGGAAAAGTATAAAAAAAAAAAAAAGGACAGAATTACGAGTAAAATACTATCTGACTCTCTTTGCTGTGTTTTAACTTCATCATCAGGGGAGTTATAGATTTAGATAGCACAAATCATATATGGGAGAGGAAGAAGCAATTTGGGTCATAAAAATGATTCTGCCTTACTTGAACGAGTTTCTGTTAAAACTCAGAGCCCTCTTTTCTGGAGATCCTGGTACCACTATGAAGGTAATTTTCTTTGCTTGCTTGTTGCTTCCTTTTCTTCCCGCTGGTCTTTTCTAATTTGTTAGAACGGCATATTCGTTTGTCTGACATCGATACGAAATATTAAGATTTATGATAAATAGGGGTATAATCTGTATATTACTTATAAGCGACAAATAGTTCAATTTATTATTTATTTTATTTTTGTAATGTATGGGTTTAAATTTATTTACTTTGAGTTGGCTGAATTTAGTGTGTTAAAAAATAATATATTTTATCATATTATATTTTAGTATTTATTTTATTTATTATATTGAGCTTAAAATTAAGGTAATTGAGAGTAGTCTCCAGACAAACGTTTTGTTTTGTCGGAGGAAATTACAGTAAAAACCCTCATGTTACAAATGCTTTTATTGAAATACTTTGAAATTTAAAATCTGAAATTATTTTAGAAGATCCTAAAGAAAAAAAAAAAAATCCAAATTATAAGTCGTACATTTCCTTATATAGTTTAAAGTTTTGCTTTCAAATCTGTTGGAATGATTTTAAAATTTAAAATCTTGGATTGTAATTATTTGTAACCTGCACTTCTCTACTCAACTAATTTTTCTAATATGTGCACTGAAATTGCAGATGGCTGTTTTGCTGTTTGTTTTAGCCAGATGGGGCAGCTCCATAACCATTTGGAAGATGGCCAAATTCGGTAAATTTCCATATACTTGCAAATTTCACTGAATAGAAATATGGTTCATACTTCCATCGAAAAAAAGAAATAGCGTTCACACTTCACAGCTTCATGCTGAAGATGAGTACTTAATATTGTGGGGTGTCTGACCCTATATTGTCATGTAGTACTCTTAACTCTGCCTTATTTTACTTCATCTAGAAGCAAGAAGAAAATGAATCTCACAAGCATTCCACTCGTTTACGCGAAGTTTCTTGCTTTTTCCATCACTTGGAACGCCATATTAACACAAGCTTACGTTTGCTCACTGCCTCAGGCTTCTTTGTTGTTTTCATGGCTCCAAAGCTTTACTCTCTGTATTCTGTACAGTTGGTTTCATACGGTAAGAACCTGAATTTAATGTACCTCTGATATCAAATTATTTAATGCAAGGTATTGATTCCTGACTTTATAACGTTAAGCTGTAAAAGGACGCAAGACATTGCTGTGACCAGTGCTTCACTGTGCATAATGTAATGCCTGACTCTCCAGTGTACTAGTTCTTACTTCTCAGGCCCACTGCAAAGCCGTTTTGTCTGTATCTATCTATCCATGTCGGCAGCTATGAGTCTCTATTAATATTATTTTAAATAAATGTTTTTCATTAAAGTAAGTTTTTTAAATCTTCCATCCCCATATGGTGATTGAAGGGAGCATAAATAAGATGACCTTATGAGAGAGCATGCAACAATGTTTCTGAATAATGATGATTTTGGAGATTATAGTTAAGAATGTAGTTTGATGATGATGGCGGTGGTGAATGGAGAACTTAAATTGGTGCAGCAAATTCGTGGGTGAAGCGAGCGAGGGATGGTTGGGATTCATGTGGTCACAAGAAAGCAGTGGGTCTTGGCATCTTTGGCCTTGTGTGGAATCTGTCATCACTTGTTGTTCGTATCTGGGCAGGTAAGATCATAAGAACTCCCTCTCATTTAATTTAAGCTCCCTGAAATTAAATGATGTTAAAGTGATAGAAAAACTAACACAAGGAATAAAAAAGTGTGTGTGTGTTTGGGACTTGTTTGGTCTCTGTAATTTTAGATATCCAAATCTGATATCACACTACATTTCAAGAATATCTAGGGATCAAAAAACTATGAGTACAAGGGGAGGCAAATGAATGTGTGAACTTGTGACTTTAGTGGGTGCGATTGTACCAACACTAATAACACGGATGCACCAGATTCCGTGTGACTCGCGACTTCTGCAGATAACATTCTTCTATATTTTGTTTATTGAACCTCCCATGAGTTGTAGGAAATGGATGGATTGTGAAAAGTAGATGATCTAGTCTCCTCTGCTTGATTTTCTTTTAGCTTGTCGCATCTATTATCTTTGAGCAAACAGCAGTTGAGCAAGTAGTAATGGATGGATGTTATGAAATTTGCAGTTTTTGTGCTAATAGCAGCATTAAGATACTACCAACAAAATCAAATGGGAAGAGATGAATGGAAGGAGGAGGAGGAGGAAGGAGGAGCAACATGTGAAGAAGTTGGAGTTAAAGGGCAGAGACAACCAGGGCAGAGACCCATTAATCTTCAAACAAATAAACCCAAGAAAGCATTTTAAGGGCAATCCATGGTGCAGTTGGTCCCACATTTTGAATGTAGTGTTCCAATTTCAAGTGATCCAAGTCCAACCATGAAAGGCTTCTGATACTCATAACAACTCAGTTTTTTCCTTTCTTGATGTAAATTTGTTAGTTAGAGGCTTATATTCTTTAATTTTTCACATAACAAATAATGTTGTGCTGTAATAATAACTTCAAAAATATTAACTTATTGTGCGTAATAATAACTTCTAAGAAAAATATGATAACTTATTGAATACTACTAATAAGTGATAACTTTCAAAAGCAGATTCAATTTCCATGTTATCAGCAAGTGTGACTAGAGTAAATAAATTATTAGAATAAGAAAAAAATATTTTCTTCATGTTGACCGTTATTTAATAATTACTATGTCAAAATTAAGTGATGTGGTATTCTACAGAGTGTTTTAGATGTCTCTGCGCGTTCCAGACAAAGCTTGCAGATATATCAATTTTTTTTTTTTAATTTTGTGGGGCCGAAAGAGAGAAGAAACAAAGCAATCATTAATAGAGTGATATCCTTGTTCTTTTTTACCCCACATTCAATTAATGAATTGTAATTATTGAAGCTTCTCTTCATTTTCATTCCTCTTTTATTTTTTACACAGAGTATTCAACAATTTTCTCTTCCAAACATAATACAAGTATCATATACAAAGTATGGACAGGATGAAACCAGTACATCAGTGAAAGTAAACCCATCCATTATCATTCAATAAAATCAATTAATATTGGTATTAATAATAGCTTTATTGTTTGAGTTAAAGAATCACTAATAACTTTTTTTTTGGCCAAAAATAATCACTAATAACTAATGCACTAAAATACACTAACTTTGAGCTGTTTAAACTTTAAACTAGGCCTTATCATTCATATACAATGTTCCATAGATCAACTTAAATATCAAAGTAAAATTGTGAGTTTGAGTTAATATGCATTTCAAAAGCACAACTAATAAAAGATTGCAAGTATATACTATTTAGACATTTTGGGTAGATTTAGTTGGAGGTTTTTGGATGCAAGGAGAAGGGGACTTGGGGGGTTTTTTTGGAAAGGAGAAGCGAGAAAAAATTATAATAATTAAATTATTTATTTATTATTTTAAAAATCCTAAAATTATCTTTGATAATAAAAAATTATGCACTATCTTCCTCTCTATTATAATAAAAAAATTATCATCTTAGGAAAATTAATATAGAATTTTTATTGTCTAAAATTTTAATATTTTTTCATTAGATGCACTGATAAAATGTAATGTTAATATATTTATTCTTCAAAAAATGTTATTAATATAAGCTCATATCCTAAAAATAATAAAGTTAATAAAATATAATATAACTATTTTTTGATAATAAATCAAAGCAAAAATAAAAAAATAAAATGAACTTAACATGGAATAAACTTATCAACTTATTATTGATCTTTTTCTTCTTCCTTTCTAAACCAAATAAATATTCATTAAAATCCTTTTTCTCTCCTCTCTCTTAATCAATCCAAAACCTTAATCTCCTCTTCCCTTTATCTCGCGAACAGGTTTGATGCAGTGAATTTTGTAAAGTGGGTGAGAAGCGAGATAATTTTGATCGTATGTTCTATCTAATGGTTTTTTTTTTTAAACAATCTACTAAATTCCACTCTTTTTAATATTCATCATGCATTGATGATATTTTTAATTTTTTTGAAAAAAAATGGAAATTATAAAATATTTTTATAAACCAATATAGTATAATCATGTAATTTATTTCTATTTGTAAAGAGATTGCTCTCCAAATGGTTGGGAAGAGAAGGGTGTGCAAAAAAATTTAACATTTGCAAAGCACCCAAATATTTTTTAATAAAAAATATATTTATATATCTTTTAAAATATTTTAAAAATATTTTTATCTGTTCCCATTAAAAAAATATTTGAGTGCTTGGAGAAGGCTGAAGGTAATATAGGAAAAAATAATTTAAAAGGTCTATAAAAATATTTTTCTAAACATTCGAGTACATTGTATATGGAGTCATCAATTAGAGTTGAGCCTATTGGTCAATCATTTTAAGTTAAAAAAATTAGTGTTGGGCTCTTCTTTTAAGGTGTAAAATAATAAATTAAGCTCCAAAAATAAAAAAGCTAACTTTTTTAGACTTATTTATATATTTCTTAAAAATTCAATATGAAAAAAATAAATACATCAAAAGAAAACTCTAGTTACAAATGAAGCTTCACAAGAAAAAGGATCAAATTCTATTAATATTAATGATAATAAAAATCATCAACATTTAGTTGATTATGCTAGCAAAATCTAATTGTCAAGGAGTTGATTTTGGAATGTTGTTATTTTTTATTAGACTTAAATTTGTTATTTTGTAGATTGATTTAAATTTATTTTTTAGACTTAATATTATGTGTAATAATTTTTTAAAAATTTTAAATATATTTTTTATATTTTTAATTTAAAAAATAAAAAAATAGCAATGAAGCTTATGGAAAGAAAATTAGAAAGAAATAAGTAAAGATATTATAAAAATATTACAGATTTAAAAATTAAAGATATTTTGTTCTCATATCAATTACACACATTTTATTTTAATTTAAATTATTGTTATCCTTCAATATTTATTATTATTATTTTATTTATTGTTATCTTTTATTTAATTTTAAAACTTTTAAAATTTTTATACATTTATTTTTAAAATTAAGTTGAAGCTTATAAATAATACTTCAGCTTATTTAATATATTTAATCGAATAAAAATTATTATTTCTTTTATCTCCTATATTCCCTCCTCTCTTCCCCGTGTTTTGCATGATGCACCAGAAGCCCTTAGGGTCGACCTTTTAATTCTAAGAGCCTAGGTCGCGCCATGCAAAATGAATCTCCAAAATATTATTGAATTTAAAAGGGCTAGTTCGTCCAGGTCCAAACCTTTTAGGGCTAGATCTATTTGCGTATTGCTCTCTTCTTAGCTATTAGACAGATCACACCGTCAACATCACCCTACTTGCCAGTCATTTTACAAAATCTATTGCACCAAATCCGTTCTTTATCCCTCCCTCTCCTTCTCTTTCCTCCATTCCGTTGAACCGAACGCACGGGGCAACTAGCGCATAACGATATTCACATTCCCGCCGTAGCTATCGGAGATGAGAAAACAGGCCGAGAGACCAGATCGGCGATTGAGAGCATTAGGATAGCAGCGATTTTGGGCAAATAAGTGAAGACCTTCTGCTGCTGGTGCTAATCGGTAAAATCGGCTCGATAGGTAAGTGTTAAGCTTCTAATTTTCAGAATTTTGGGGATTTCGAGTTCAACCGGGACGAATCTCCTCTTAATTTCGAGTTCAGAATTTTAGTCTCCCCACACAGACACCAACACTCACGCTCGAACTTCTCTAATCTTCTTCTGTATGACATTTTCTCCTTTTTCTCTCATTTTTCCCCACCTACATTTATGATCGATCGGCATGCCATGAGCTCCCTCAGATTAAAGGAAAATGAATAGGCCCATCATGCTCGTTAAGTGACAATTATTTTTGGGAATAACCAACGATTGAGCGTGGACTGTAACTTTCGATGCCGATGTCGGCCTGAATAAATAGGTTTTGTCGTTGTGAAGTAGAGGGAGGGTGGACAGCTGAAAAGAAACACCTCATGATGAAAGCAGGGCGGGCTTTATCTACAATGGACTCGCAGCCCAAAAGAAAAAGCCCGGCCCTTCTAGTCTAACGAAAGCTTTCCATTTCCGCCGTTGGAATGTTGGGAGCCCGCATTGACGGAAACTTTGGCAGCGAAGAGGACGACCCTGAGGAAGGCGTATCAGAAGCGAGGCTCTGTTTCCCCTGATTCTACCTCCTAACCTAATCTACTCGAGATTTTAATTTCACTTCAATAAAATAGCCCGTCATGTAATAATACCAGTTTCAATCCACTTGTTTTATCATTTTAATTCTTACTCCTGGTGTGATGGTTTGATTTCCATAGTGGGTGTCAGTTCTAGGTATTGAATTTACTTTCTTTATTTGGCGAGTTCAATTGTTACTTGTGTTTTTGTTGGGTTGCTCCAATTTAGCTTTTTAGCTCCCTTTCCTCTTCCTCATGCTATGTGTAATTTTGTTAGAGTGGTGCCTGGCTAAGTCTGTCAATGAGTTCTGTTTCTTTTGCCAGGTCTTTTGGGGACCCTTCGCCTATGTTACAGTTCGGAGAATTTACCAATTCGCCCTTTTGACTGAAGAAGAAGTCCAGGGTAACGTTACATGTCTTGTTAGGTGTGCTTCCTTTCTTACTCCTGTTATCTTCCATCTGCATTATTTTTTGAAAAGGACCTTTTGCTGTGAATTTCTCAGGTATTGTGGAGAAATTTTGTTCAAGACCTCCCATTACGAAGAATATTTGTGAATTAGGGTAAGATTACTTCCTTGATTATCTGGCTTTTATTTTTTTGCTTTAGCTTAACTATGTTGGTGGTACAATCCTAGATTTTAATTTATATGCCAATATGTGAACGAATTTAAGCACTGCAGTACGATTCCTTGAGTCATGTTAGAGTTATTTCCATGCACCTCCTCTCTGGACTACATTTTCAGAAGACCTGTTCAAAAATATCCGCATCAACTAATTTCAGAAACAACACTAACTTTACTTATTTTAAATTTTCATCATTAAAGTATTCCTGTTTAAATTTTTTGTAACACTTATCTTTTGTGACTTGTAAAACCGTTGTGTCTGTATGATACAAAACTAGAGAGACACAGAGAGAAAGAGAGTAATGGGTGAATTGGAGTTGCCTTGCAAAGCATGCCTTGTAAAATTTCTCTGAGGTGGCAACCTAATGGCTTGATTTTCATATGAGTTTTGGATGGAATTAGTGTTCCATTTATGACCTATCAATATGATTCATAGGTTTAGGCAGGCTGGTATTACATTGCTGTGATATCTAAGCTTGTGGATGCTTTGCCTTTTTCTTATTTTCTCCTTTTGTTTGATCACTGGCTTAATTTGGTGTATAATCAACACACTACTATATACCTTTCATATGAAGCATAATATATATTATTGGTAATACTGAATTTCACTTGCTAATTTGGTTTATTGGGTGGCTATGACTCAGATGAGTCTTGCGACAGATTCTCCAGTACATTCATCTAGCAGTGATGATTTTATTGCATACCTTGATTCTGCATTAGATGCAAGCTCTCCAGATGCTACCCAAGAAGTTGAGAATCAAGATGAGTCTGAAACTGTCAGGTGCTGTTTACAAGCTATTTCATTTTATTATTTGCAGTTCTAGAATGAGTTGATGTGTTATCGTTTTTCAGTTTTATTTAGAGTGCTCTGGCAATTTGGATCTGTTTCCCTGTTTGCTTTCAAGTTATTTTTCTATCTAGTTTAAGTTAATTTTCTTTTCACACAAGTGATTATGAAATGACACTTATCTAGCTATTCTTGAATCACTATTAATGGTTTTTATATTTGTAAATTCATGAGATTTGACATCAAGAGTTTAATTACTAATGAACATGTATATGTATCGTAGGATGCTTGCTAATGATGTAGGTTTGGATACTTTCCCATTGAGTATTAACTAAACTATAGAAAATGTTCCTATCAACTTTTCCTTTTTAATAGTCACTGCATTTACAATTGTTGATTTTTGTAATTTAACTTAATCTTGACTGCCTTGGGGTAGCCAATTTCACTTCATAACATGTCAGTGTTGGATGAATCTGAGAGACATTGGCTTCTTGAGGGTTCATGTTTTGAGAATATATTTAACCAAAAATTCTATGTTATACAAGTTATTGAATGAGTTGGGATATCTTTCTGGTGCTTGTAGCTGATATATTCATTACAATTCAAAAAAGATATTTAGTTTAGTGTTGTTACTGACCATCTATATGCGTGGTGATGATTTTTTTTTTTTGGGAAAAATAATCAATTAAACTTTATAGTTTTGACTTAGTTGTAATTTAATCCCTAAATTTTGACTCGTTATAATTCAATCTTTGAAGTTTTGACTTGGTTGTAAATCAATCCTTAAACTTTGCCTCTTACATTTTAGTCTTTGAAGGTTCAACTTCTTAAATATTGGTCCCTGTATATTAAAAATAAAATTATAAAGATTAAAAATATTTTAAAATTTACTACTAATATCTCTTACTAAACCCTTTTAATATTTACAAATATTAAAAGTTTAAAATATTTTTAATCTTTATAATTTAATTTTTTAAAATAGAAGGACCAATATTTAAGAGGTTGAAACTTCATGGACTAAATTGCAAGAGACAAAATTCAAGGACTGATTTACAACTGAGTCAAAACTTCAGGGACTGAGTTACACGCGGGTCAAAATTACAAGGACCAAATGATTAATTTTTCTTTTTTTCTTGGTACTCAGCTGTTTTGGATTGACAATTTTATCAAAAAAGCTTGGTAAAGTTTCTTAAATGTATGCTATTAATTTCTCTTTTCCATTGGAAACATCACATGCAACGAACTTTACTAAGAGAACCAATTATGTCATGTTTGGTTATAAAAAAATATTCACATGTTATGTTTTTATTAGAGAACCTAATAACAATCTCTAAAATAGTTGCATTTAAGTTTTGTCTTGATGCCACTTTTAGGGCTTTTTCTAATTGTTTTATATTTGTTCTCAAATTACATTGATTTCTGTTTCAATTTATAGACTTATAAATTGATGCAGTTTCAATTTACAGATTTATAAATTGATGCAGAATTAAAAGGCGTAAAGTTGAAAGCATAGAGGAGACTCAGGGGTCTACTTCACAAGGGCTTGTAGAGGAGAGCTTAGGTGAGTTTGGTGGTCTTATTTGTAACAGTCATTGACTTTGGTGAGCCCAGAATCCTTCCAATTGTATGACTGATAAGCTCTAACTTCCTGGAGCCTTTTTATGCATTACCTTTCTTTTCAGAAAGAAAATTAACGTATAAGATACATGGTAACTTTTCATAGTTTTTTGTGCCTCAAAAGCACCCTCAAACTAATTTGCTGGTTTGGCATGAGGGTATTTGGCTTGTGTCACTATCTGTCTGTAACTTTCATTTTAATCAAGTAGTCAAATAATTGTTCTTTATTCTTCATGAAAAAAATCAAATGAGTATGCCATGAATAACATGCAAACTCAGTTCTTTCATTACTTGAAAAAAAGGAAGTAGATCTTCCTATGTAATATGGATTAACCAATGTTTAGTTTTTAATTTTAGATATACAACTGTCTCTTTAGCTTGGAAATGTTATAATTTGGAGGTTTTTTCTCCCTTTTCATTGATTGTTGCTGTAGAGGAAACTGTGAAGGAAGATGTATGTGCTCATCCTGGTTCATTTGGAGATATGTGTATACGTTGTGGGCAAAAGTTGGATGGGGAATCTGGTGTGACATTTGGGTACATACACAAGGTATGAATAGTCTAAAATTTATTTTTGGGTTACACTGTTGTTAACAAATGGTTATCATTGATCATGACAATTGTGATGTGAAAAAAATGTGCTGGGGCAATCATTTACATGCATACGAGAAATTAACCTGGCCAATACAAGATTGTCAAATTTTCAAAATTATTAGGTTGTTTGTTGATTTAATCTCATGTTTTATAAGGCATGGTTGAGGAACTGAAAATAAAGAACATCTACTTGATTGTTGGATTCTTGAGCTATACAAAATGGCCTCAATCTTTGGCATTACTAACAACTTAAGGGTTTACTGTATGGGGGTTTGAAATATGAAGATTCTTCCAATTTACATTTGCTATTTTGTATTCCTTCAATCTCTAATGCATAAATCCTTTATTGAATTTCATGATTTGACTAGCTGATAGTTTGGCTTGTGACTAGTGTTCTTGGGCAACTCAGTCTAACTAGTTTAGTTGAATTATTGTTCATTAATCTTTATATAGGATGGATTTTTTTTTATTTACAGGGATTGAGGCTTCATAATGAAGAAATATCTAGATTGCGTGATACGGACATGAAGAATTTATTACGTCATAAAAAGCTCTACTTGGTTCTTGATCTGGATCACACACTGCTGAATTCTACTCAACTTGTTGATTTGAATTCAGAAGAGGTGTATTTACTGAACCAGACAGATTCTCTAGCAGGTTATTATGTTAATTGTGTTCTTTTGTCTGTCAACAATTGTTTATATTATATATAGTGATCTTAATGATGCATTATGAATAATTTTTCCTTCAATGCCACCTTTCTTTCCTTTTTTTTTTTATTGAATGTCAAGTAATCTACCTTAATGGCTGTATTTTACTATTTCTCATTATACCATAAAAGTGACCTTGAAATCTTTGCATGATGAAATGAATAGATGTGGCTAAAGGCAACCTCTTCAAGTTGGATTATATGCATATGATGACCAAGTTGAGGCCCTTTGTCCGCACGTTTCTCAAAGAAGTGAGTGAAATGTTTGAAATGTACATATATACCATGGGCGATCGGTCCTATGCATTAGAGATGGCTAAGCTGCTTGATCCAAAGGGGGAATACTTCCATTCTAAGGTGATTTCTCGGGACGATGGCACTCAAAAGCATCAGAAGGGTCTTGATATTGTGCTGGGGCAAGAAAGTGCTGTTCTCATTCTTGATGATACAGAAAATGTAAGTGCATTCCAATTCACGGACTTATAACTTTGATTTTTCTTAATCGGCATGCTTGTATGATTGGATAGTTTTCCTTTGTGAATGTCACTTCTGGAGTTTTTTTTTTTTTCCAAATTTTTTTTTTTTGTTAGTATGAAAGAATTGAATGTTATGCAGGTATGCTACCAAGTCTATTTCTCTGTTTCATAATTAATTTAGTCAATGACAGAAACCCCAAAAAAAAATTACCGTTGTATGCTAGTATGATGACCATTATCTTTTCAGGTAATGCCATTCAGCGTGGTTTTTACGTTGTAAGACCATTTTTCTTTCTTATTATAATCTGTATGGAAATTGTCTACTACTTGATAGGCATGGATGAAGCATAAAGATAATGTGATACTGATGGAAAGATACCATTTTTTCGCTTCAAGTTGCCGGCAATTTGGTTTCAATTGTCAATCTCTTGCTGAGTCAAAGAGCGACGAATGTGAATCTGATGGGGCACTCTCAAGAATTCTAAGCGTTCTCAAACAAGTTCATCACACATTCTTTGACGTATGTCACTTTCATTCTCTCATTGTCCGGTAATTTCTGATGTGCTCTAAGCTAATGTGGCTGGGATCCTTTTGTAGGAACTTAAAGATGATCTTACTGAAAGAGATGTGAGGCAGGTAGTTTATGTTCCTATTTAACTATGCTATGCCTTTGAGATTTTGATGGTGGAAACTTGTTTAATTTACGATTTTTTTTTTAATTGAGATTTCATGTAAAATTCCACTAATTTTTGTGCAGGTACTGCGAGCTCTTAAAAGTGAAGTCTTGAAGGGATGCGTGCTTGTATTCAGCCGTATAGTTCATGCTATGTTACCAACACTCCGGAAGATGGCAGAACAGATGGGGGCCACATGTTTGACGGAAGTGGATCCCACTGTGACACATGTAGTGGCAACCGATGCGGGGACAGAGAAGGCACGATGGGCAGTGAAGGAGAAGAAGTTTCTAGTTCATCCCAGATGGATTGAGGCTGCAAATTACTTTTGGCAGAAGCAGCCTGAAGTTAACTTCTCTCCCAAGAAAAAATAGTAGTGACCTTTTTATTGTATTAAGCTATTCTTTTCTCGTAGCTTACTTAGATGTTAAGAGTAACCCGTTTTGATCCCATATTTCATCATGGCTAACCACTAATTGTTAACATTTATTAGGTCCACGGATGCAATCATTGATGCATAATAGTGTTGTGAATTGAGTCAATGTAATATTTTCTCAATGTTTAGTTGCATGGTGATCAATTATGCTTGATTTTACAATTGGGGTTGAACGAAACCTAGCACGCACAATTTACGTCTATTTGGCATGAAACATTTTTTAAGATGTATTGTGGGGAAAGATTATATTAAAAAAGAAAGTAAAATGATTCAAACTGCTTTCAATTATTGTTACCAAGGTAGTTTAGAGTCCTACCCGAGGGAGTAATGTGTGAAGATGATTTGAATACAATCATACGTAATAGATAACAGTGATAGCTACTGGGCGAGTGTGTGTGTGTGTGTGTGATATTTTCTTAAGGCAAGCTGCGTGCTCAGCAATTATGACAGTGTGGCCCAATTTACTTCAAGTGGGCCACCATTATGGCAGCCCAATTCGGCTGAGCCACATATTTGGGTTGAATTTTTTACTAGTCCAAAACTGGTATTGTTGGGCTTAGTCATAGGATGGGGCATTTTTTGTTTTTTAAGAAGTTTAAATTGCAAATGAGGCAAAATAAGTCTGGAGCCAACCTTAAATTTATATCAAGTATTAACGTTAGTCCAATGAGAATTGAAGACCAGCATGATAAGAAGATCAAATAGTTATTATTATTATTTTTGGGTATTAATGCCACTTGCCACCATAATTTTTAGATTTAATCCCCCCTTTTAGGAATGCAATATATTACAAAAAACAATTCCAGTATATTTTGTATCTGCTTATTCATTAGAACAATTTAGTTCTTTGGCATTAATCATCATTTCCAGTGGTAGGAGTTGAGTGAAGTTCAAAATTCTAACCTGGTGTAATTTAAAAATAATAATCGTCTTACTTGAATTAATCAACAAACAAAATTAATTCGATCGAAATTAAATATTTTTATTTTTGAATTAATATATTAAAGAGATAACATAGTTAAGATTAAACCTATGAAGAGTTAAAATTATATGTTTACAGTACAGAAGCTTAAAATTACACCCAGACCAAGTTATTATTCCACACTTATTATGGGAAAAAAAAAACATAGGGATTAAGAAAGAACAAGAGAGACCACAAAACTGTTATCCACAATACCAGTCACATGGTTCTAAAATTGTCTGTGTGTGTGTGTTGTGTCTAGATTTCTTCAGTTAAAACATCTCTTTCCATGGTTCAAATGGTCCAGTACCAGCCCAAGAATTTAAAAACATCTTGGTTCTATTTGTTCGTCTTTTCTAGATCTGAACATAAGAAACAACATTTACAAAAAGCAATATATGGTGCTTCAGCTAATAATATCGTTATGCCGCTGCAGGATCAATATTAATATGGAGGGTTTGATAATAGGCTTTTTTACTAATAAGATTGTGAATTTGTGTAAAGCACTAACATTGTTTGAGTTATGAAGTTTTTTTTTCCCAACATATATTTGACTATTTTCCTTTTCTTTTTTACATTTTTCAAGATCATTATAACTGACAGCTGTGAAACTAATTCTTTAATAGATTTGAGCATTATTTAAAATGTTGTTATTTTTGATGTGATACTTTCTATGCACACATTCAAGAATTGAATTTTAAAAGAAAAATTAATTATTTAGTTCGTTGTTTTGACATAATTATAATTCAATTCTTAAATTTTAACTTGTTTAATTTAATTCTTATAGTTTTAATTTAGTTGTAACTTAATTCATAAATCTTACCTCTTACAATTCAGTCTCTATAGTTTTATTACTTAAATATTTATCCCTAGATTTTTAAAAATAAAATTATAAAAATTAAAAATATTTTAAACTTTTAATGTTCATAATATTTAAAGATTAAATGATTTAGTGTACATTAGTTAAAGATTTGTTAATCATTGTGTCACAATTCATACATAATAGTAGTAAGAATAGATGGGTAGTTTATATGTACTCCCTCTATTAAAAAATATAAGATATTTTTAATTGAATTTTACCTCTCAATAAAATAGTTATTTATCTTTAAGCTAACCATATCTTTTTATATTTACCTCTATTTAATAAAGTGTTTTACCCCTAAAAAAATATAGTAATCTATTTAATAGGGGTACTTTTGAAAAAAAAATATAATGATTACATTTTAATTTAAAATATTTTATATTTTTAAATAGAAGAAGTATATATACACATATATATAACAATTAATAGACATGTGTATATAATGAATAATCGAAGAATCGATTCTGTATGTTCATTGATGCTTAATTTGGTCCCAATCAGTCATATCAAATGGAGAATATACTAGCCATTATTGTTTATATTAACTTCTTATTATTAAATAGTACATTACATAATTAGAGAATTTTTCCAAGACTGAAAAGGTGTAAATGAAAACTGGGTATCAACTTATGAAAACGTGACAAGTGGCACAGCAAGGACCAACAAGTAATGATAGATTGACAACTCACAAAAAACCACCCAAGCTATTGAATATGTATAATTTTTTTTTAAAAAAGAGTTAACTAATTTATTAAGAATTTAATTTAATTAAAAGTACTTTATAATATTGAGTGGATAAAATATATGTAAATGCACATGAATTTATTGATATTGATTATGAACTGTTGAAATTTAATTATAACAACTTAAATCAAAATTACTTATATATTGCCATGTCTACAAGCAATCTTTCTTTTTTATACACTTGTATATAATCATTAAAGTTTATTCTATATGAATCCAAAACTTGATGATTGCTTAATAGTTAATGATAATGCACTATAAACCTACTGGAATATATACTTCCCTTCGTCCTTATCATATAGAGTATGTAGACTCTTGATATAAGGTATATTGTAGGATATTGATTATTTTTTAATATTATTGTTATTTAAATTTGTTAATTATGATAAAAATGTAGAATTTAAAAAAATTATTTAAATATAAGAACAAATTTGGAATTTATTTTATTTTTAAATAAAATTAATAACTTAACTGTTTTTCTTAATTATGGTGAATTAGTTGAAACTGTGAAATGGAGAAAGCACTCCTATTTACAAAGCATATTTTAAAATATTTATTTGATTTCATTTATAAGTTATAATACAATTTTTTAGACAATATTTAAAAATATTTTTAAAATTATCTTTTATTAAAAAAATAATATAACATCACTTTTTAAATTTATTATATAGAGATATATTTAAAATTTTATAAATTTTATTTTTTATATATTTTTTATATTAATATTAATAAAATTAATAAAAATAATTTATAAAGAGAATGAGAGGGGTACACATTAATAAAAATGAAAATTAGAAAACCGTGAACACAAGGAAAGTAGCCATAGAAATCCACACAAGCGGCACCACTATCAATTGTTTGACCCTACAACTTAAAAGCTGTTGGTGTCAACGTCCTTGTCGAATTAATGTAATTCATTGTCACAATAATCTCAAAACCCTACACTGCCTTGCTTCGCCTTGCTCTCTTGTGGTAAATGTCCAAGACGATGGCGTTTTAGAATCTTCTCGACCGTTTGTTTTGTCTCTTGCTCAACTCAACTCGTGACAACCAGACACGTGGTGCACTACGCCTTGAGTTTGATTGCCAAGTAAATTTGTGCATCGCTGTTTCTTGAATATAATATAAGTTATTTTTAAAATTTTTTTTATTTAAAATACAAGTCATTGAATAAGTTTTTTATATTTATACTCTTGTTTTAATAAAATTAATGTAATTGATGCGGTAGTTTTAAACATTCTGAAAGATGAATATTTAAAAAAAATTAAATCTTTTTTTTTTAAGAAGTACAATTTAATTAACAACTTATATTATAGTTCAAAGGAAATACTACTTTACTAGCCACAAATATTATAGCTTTGGTCAGGCATTGTCTCATGAATAATTATTACCAACAAGTTCCTTATTGTTGTGTGGCCAAATCTTGATACCTTCTGTCTCAGTTAACTCCACTCTGCATACGTACCATATATGTTTTTGTGTCATTTTTACTATAATTGTCCTCTCATCCTATATATGATAAATAATATTATTAATATTAATATTATAATTAACAACTAATGCACCGTCATAGTTTATGAATGAATAATATAACTTTTTATACTTGTTTGTTCAGAGATGGTCTTCACGATTAATCGGACTTGAATGCAATATTTCACGGTATACATAACTTTTTTTTTAATAAATTTCAAATGTACAATAGCTTCTTAATTGTATATTCGTGTTAATAATTGATGATGATGATGATGATGATGTGGAGGATTTTTTACGCGGCATGATTTGAAGCGGATATATTGCAGTGATAAAGAAATGTGAAAAAATAGGACACACAAATTAAAACAGACAAATTTGGCAGATGGAAGGTTGCATTATTATTGAGACATCTGGCAAACGAGAGTTTGTTCTTTTTTTCACACATGTCACAATTTCAAACGACGAGCAATATATATATGCTACATATCAAGTGAAAATATATAGTGATTGTGAATAATAACAACAACAACAATGATATCATTTATCTATAACATCAGAATTAACACATATAGCTCTTCTTTATCTAAAACGAAGCTGAATTTTTTTAAAAGTATTATTTAATTAATTTTTCAATTTATTATTAGTGCTTCTCAAAACCATCATCAACTTTGTTCGTAAAATTCTAACTTAATCTTTATGTAATATAAATATGTTAGAAATTTGTTTCTATCGACGTCCTTGAATGAAAATATTTTTTTATCTCGACTCCATGAATACAAAACAACATATATCATTGTAATATTAAGAAGATCGTGCGAGGTCTAATTTTAATAAACATGTGATATGTTGAAAAATGTCAGTAACAATTTGTTCTTTTAATATAGTTAATACTTTAAAATTTTAATTGTTGAAAGTTTCATTACCTAGTAGTTATGGACACTTAGTTAAAAGTTTCCATTTATGAAACTATTGAAGATAAAGAAAAGATCAAGAGGGGGGAAACAAAGAAAGAAGCTTATTTTCTTTATTGCTAGTAAATATTCTTATATTAAAGGCAATTATATTCTATAGTCAGACACTAAATATGAAAATATCTCCTAATAAAGATTCAAATATAGATTT